GGCAGGTTTTACCTGCACCAGCTGCCATTCCCTTATTGTAACTCTAACCTTTACAGCTCCTGCTGGCTTATTGTGCTGTTGTGCTGATTGCACTAACCTTAAATATTAATGATTTATTCCTACCCCTGACTTGTATTGAACCATCAATGTTCAGTTTTGTTGGCTTATGACTATCTCTATCCTCATACTTTGGCTTCACCGGAATAGGAAATAGGAAATAGGAAATAGAAAATAGGAAATAGGAAATAGGAAATAGCATTAAAGGGGTTGAGAACTCAGGCAGTTTACCTGCCGAGGTAAACAAATGATATAGAATTGCAGATTGGCGGGCGATCGAGAAGATGACTTTTGCAAAATTTGGTGAGCCCATCATGCTGGGAAGCAACAAGGAATATTCTAATTAGAGTGAGCAGCTAACCAGATTATCTGGACGATTGCAACCGGAGCTGGAAAGGAAGGCGAAGCGAGCGGTTGATTGCTAATCTCTGGTACAAATCCAACTTGCTATGCAGAAGGTGGCTGACAGGAATGGCAGAAAGTGTGGGAAGTACTGTTTTGGAATCAAGTGGTAGCAATGCCTTCAATGCTGAAACAAACAGTGGCTTTCCTGAATAGGCATCCATTGCTTCCCCACTGTAAACCCAGATTCACCTTCCCAGATGGCTTCTCCGTCCATCTCAAATACAACTAGTCAGACTCTCCTTTCCAGAACAACTGGGCTGGAGTCACGATATTACAGAACTTTCTTCACTAAACTGAGGCAGAAAGGTGCAATTCCAAAAATTCCCAGATGTAGAAATCTCTCTATTTGCGTCGCAGTGATCGGCTTCCATTGCTTCTCAACTCAACAGTTTTTCTTTCAAAAAGGAACACCTCTTGGTTGCTTTATCCAGCCACTCAGTCATCGCTTCTATTGGCCCAAGCAAGTGTGCTTAGGTGATTGCTGATTGTCACATGCTTCTTCTACGTTTAGAAACTCCAAGCCTGTTTTCTTCCGCGCTTACTCGTCATCATCGTCCTCCTCATCGTCGTCGTCATCATCATCGTCGTCGTCATCATCGTCGTCGTCTCCTAGAGGCACATGTCCAGCATCAACAGCCCTCCAATAATCTTGAATATCGTCTTCTTGATGCGAATAAATGTACCCAAAAAGCATCATTGTTAGAGCCAAGGAAACTGGAAAGACAAATTTTCTCCATCCGGTGGGACCTGGTGGATGAACGGGCATGGGCCAACGGGGCGGTGGCGTCGAATAGTCCACGCGACGCAGTCCATAGCGACCCACATCCAAACGGTCCGTCTTGGTACTGGCTTGTCGTTTGGTGGGGAGGAGTTGTCGCCCTCTGGATGACGCCAGTTGTCGGAGCTTGTTCATTATTTTTTGATTACTGCAAATAAATTTGGATGATCTTGATCTCGCTCAAGGGATATCAGAGGAAGTCCTTTACTGATCACTCGCTCGATTTTTTAAGCTGTATCAGTGTGGATTGTAAACAGGAGAGTTGAAAATTATAACAGGTAAGCTAGTCTTTTGCCGTTGCTCATGGCTTGGGTGGTGGGAGAGAAAAATGAGGAATGATTCGTTGGTTCGTGGGCAATCTGAGTCCCTAATCAATCGTAAGCAGTCTTCGAGGACAAAAGCCAGACATTGTCACGAGTGCCGTGCAGCCGCCATGGTGTTGGCTTGAGAGAAGAGATAGACCGAACGCAAACCAGCGCCATCTCAACGCAGGAACCCTCTTCATCGGCTGTCATCTTCATAGGACGGCTTCGACGGTTATAAGCCACAGTAGTAGAATAGGACACAATGGCGAGCAGTGACGGTCTTCCGCGAAGAATTGTCAAGGTGAGTTGTGTCGCTTTGGCTCCTAAAGGAAGATGCTGGCTATAGACGGCGTGACAAACAAACGTGAGGCTTCGGCATGACCAAGGGATCGGGAGAAGTGACCTCTCTTGGACTCTTGCTTTGTTGGATGTGTGTAGGCCGAAGGAGCCGTCTCTCTGTCGGATGTTTTGTCTGTATGGAAGCCATGATGTTTTTCTGCATGAAGCCATGATGTGACGTGTGTTTGGGATTGTCACGGAACGCTCGTGCTTTTCTTCGTTGAGACCATCGCCTCCTTCACCCGGACATCTCCTCATTCGACAACATCATCTATTCGTTCATATACAACTCATTTCGATTGCTCATTGCAGGAGACACAACGTCTGATTGCAGAACCCGTGGCTGGAATCAGCGCAACTCCGTACCAAGATAATTTACGATATTTCGCAGTGGCCATCGAAGGTCCAGCCGATTCTCCCTATGAACGAGGTGTCTTCCAATTGGAACTATTCTTGCCAGCGGACTACCCAATGGCACCTCCCAAAGTCCGCTTCTTGACCAAAATATACCATCCCAACGTGGACAAACTGGGGCGAATCTGCTTGGACATTTTGAAGGACAAATGGAGCCCTGCTTTGCAAATTCGAACCGTCTTGCTCAGTATCCAAGCTCTATTGAGTGCACCCAATCCAGATGATCCCCTCGACAACACCGTCGCCGAAGTCTGGAAAAAGAATGAAGCCGAAGCGATTCGACGGGCCCGGGAATTTACCGAGAGTTTTGCCATGAAAGGCGGCACTACTGCTGCCAGTGCCACGGCATCCATGCCAAAAAAGTCGTGCTAGGTTGACTTCACTCGACTCTACCATGATGATGAAACACAACGCAAAACTACGACAACCAAAACAATAATGAACGCTGCAAAAAAGACGAGGCATGGTCTCTCCATGTTTAGTATTGCGGCTAGTGGTCGATAGAATGGTCGAGCTACCCGCAAGGAAAATGGAAAGGCACAATGCTCGTTGTAGAAATCAAAGATGCACCTTGTAACAAAGTGATAGGTCTGATATATTTATAGAAACTACTCGGGTGAGCATCGTAATTGAAGTAGCGGCGCATCATCTAGTAGGTACTGCTTGTTTTGCCTGGCTCAGTTAGAAAGGCCACCACGAAGGCTTGTCCTCCTGGACACTCCCCTGTGCAACGTCCTTGGGGACTCGTGGAGGAACTTCTGGTGCTGGTGGCGACGTCAGTTTGCCAATCAAAAAGGGGAAGAAAGCACTCAACAAAATATCCCAACCTGTACGGACGCGAGCGAAACAGTTCCATCGATCATCCATTGAACACACAAATACAGTCAGTGGCCCAGTCGCACAGCAATGCAGAGTGAGTGTGATCCAACAATGCTTTGTGTTTTCCATCGTTGTCGTCGTCACTTGCTCGTTCGAATCGAACGCTTCCACAAACAGCAACATACACACACACGCTCACGTACCTGGAATGGAGAAGCGATCCTCTTGAAACACAATCAGACCCGTCGCAGGATCCACTGTGAAATCCGTGTACACCACATAGGGCTTGATGGTGACTCCGGGACCAATCTTGACCGCTCCGCTCAATCGCCATGTGCAAGTAAGGGTGTTGGGTACCGTTGTGTTGACAACGGTGCTGATAATCTCGGCGCGGGAAACTTCTTGATCAAAGAGTTTGTTGACGCCTCGAGCGTATTCTGATCAAAATGAATGATTGAATATATATCAACCACAAATTATTGTTAGAAAAACAGATATCTTCCTGGCAATAGTAAAGTTTTGTTGTTTGAAACATCTTGTCTGTGCCGGTAAGGTATTGTAGCCTCGCAGCTCTCAGCAGCAACGCTCCATGGATTCTTTACCTACCTTCAATGCCGTCGACACTCACATCAGGATCCCGGAACTGAAAACTATCTGCAAAATAAATGGGGTTGACTTTGCCGGTCACAAACCATTCCAAGTCGAGCAAATCATTATCCAGACCATCCGCCAATGCTTCTAGCGAAAGTCCAGGCTGGAGTTTGGGGGCATCAAAATCAATCGATGCCAATGGATCTTCCTCCTTTCCACCATTGCTTCCACCACCATTGGGCAAAAAGTTTGACAACACTTCGGCAACCTTGTTTTGGTAAGTTTCCTCACCTCCCTTTGCCATCGCGAGGCTCGTCGATACCAAATTTTCTTGTTGGGTGATACATGTACCTCGCTGACATCTTTTGGTCAACACACTCGTGGGAACACCAAGCTGAAAAGACCAAGTCGAGCCCAGGAAGACCAAGAGGACCAGTGCCGTCGAAAGGAAGCTTGTCAAGGAGATCATCATCTTCGACCCATTGCGTTTTACTTTGGCGACAAAGAAGGTCGACCAACGCCATGGTGGCAATTTTGAGAAACAGCAGCAGAGTTGACCACGTACGCGTTCCTCTTGAACGTTCATGCACGAATGAAGAAATGACTACATATTCTTCGGCAACTTTGGAACTTTGGCATGAAACCGATAAAAGACAGCCAATGATTATTCCTTGACAGCCTCTTGACACCAAACCAATCGATAGCTGCAAAACAGAGACATTGATTCAATTGTTCGTCACACTTTTGGCAGCAGAGTGGCATTGTTTCTTGGTGGAAGAGTTGCATTCAACCCAACAGTGGAGCAATAGTATTACAAGACAGCAGATACCACCATGTCGGTCACTACAACCAAGACCGTCACGAAACATTCCCACAGTAATGAAGTACCACCACAGATACCCTCTGGCTTTTCCAAAATGGGCCCCAGCATTGCTGGCTATTTTGGTTGTTTGACAGCAGTTTATGCGGCAATTTACTTTGGATACCTCGATTCCGACTCGGTTCTTGGGTCTTTCAAGCCATCCCCCGAGTATTGCACATCATCAGAGACACCCTGCTCTCGATCCGACCTCTTTGCGTTTCAAATTTCCAGTGGAATTGCCATTTCCTTCTGTGGAGTACTGGGATTTTATACCTGGCACGTCAGCAAGAGAGTTCATACGGCCCTGCCAGCCACTCCGGAAGGAAGACTCTTTGGTTATCTACCCGAAAGTGAGCAACTGGCGGCCATCAACTTTTCCTTTCAGTTTTGGGATTTCTTCATCTCGCTGCTCATTCCCGAGCATCGAACGCCTTTGATGTTGGGGCACCATACAGCAGCCAGTGTTGTATGCTTTATGTCATTGCAACATCAGGTATGCAAATGAAGAGTATAAGAGTACCGTAGCAGAGAGGAGTACAAATAATGCCATCATGCATTGTCCTAACTGAACCTTCTCTTTGTGGTTTGCCATTCCTTTGTTCCAGATGCTGCACTATTATGGAGGTGAGTAGGGATCAATCAAGCTGCTTGAATTGAAGGGAAACTCTTGGCCTTGGTACTCACCTCGTGTCCCGCTACTACTTACTTTTTGTTCCAAAAGTCTTCTTTTTGGGTGTCACCGAGTTTAGCAGTCTCTTTTTGGTGCTGATCGATCTGGCAAAATTCTTTCCTCCCGAGCCAGAAACAACGTTTGATACTATTTCGGGCCTGTGTGGTCCCCTCTTTGCCGCCTCCTTTACCGTCTATCGCGTAGTGTTATGGTGGAAAGTCAGTCTGCTCCTGTGGCAGGATTGCTATCATGTGGTAACCAAAGGCAGCTCGGACGCGTTACGTCCGGGCAAGAACTACGTCTTGTACATATTCCTCTTTCTGAATGTACCCTTGGGACTTTTACAGCTGTATTGGTTTGGTATCATACTCGACGCGGTGCGGAATATTCTTGCGGGGGATGCATAATGAAAGTACTGGTCTTCATAGAACTAGCTAGTAGTTTATTCATTACGGTAGGCATCTGACGTTGTAGAATTTCGGGTGACGATTAGCTGGCAATGCTGAAGTAATCATGCTACCAGGTACCGGTATTCTGCACTTGCCATCACCTGATGTAGAGGTGTGTCAAGGTACTCGGCCACTCCGTTTCTTCTGGCCGCCCAAAAGAAGACCTTTCCTACTTTTTGTGCAACATTGTCTTGATAGCTTACTCTTAGTTGTGCCTACTCAGCAGTAGATAGCTTACTCTTATTAATAGTTGCACCGGTAACGGTATGTTTTGGGAGGCAAGAGTTACTCTTAGCTTGCCCAGGCACCTCTTGGGAAATGTTTCCTTGGAGGTCCGGGAACGATCGGAGGGCTCGCGGAATGCGGAATAAGTCCAAGACTTCCATTTTTCCATTTTTTGAGCGGGTCACAGCGTCACAGGCTGCAAATAAGAATTATCCAGGCCCTCCCAACACAAAGCACCAGTCACTTGTTGATCGAGGCGACTAAACCCCAGCACTGCCTGCACCATTGCAACAACCCGGCCAGGCAAGCCAATAGAACATAGTATACCATATCATCATCCAACAACAATAACAAACAAGCATGGCTGCGGCAGTGGGCAGTGACGAGACCTCTTGGTCGTTGTCGGTCAAGGCGATTGGGAGCACGCTGAAAGAGTGCACGACAGGAGGACATGACAGTGAGGCGGAAAAGAATTTTACAGTGACTGTGTCTCCCGAGGATACGCTTCACAAGTTGTACGATCAGATTGAAGAGATCACTGGCTTGAAAGCGTCGCAACAGCGCTTGATTTATCGAGGACGATTGATTGAAAATTTGGAGGAGCAGAATAATAGTGAAGAGACTACTGCAAGACTCAAGGTGGATCCCGATGAACAACCCAAAGTCAAGGACATTGTCGGATTGGGCGATGGACACACCATTCATCTCGTCAAGCGAAAAGAGACGCCGCAAAGTGAGAATGCCAACAACAACAACAGCAGCAGCACGTCAGCGACGACAGCCACAACCACTGGGTCATCCACATTGGACCGTGACGAGAGTTTATCAGGGAATGGCACCGCGTCGCTGTTGGCCGCGTTGATTGGCTTGGGTGGATTGGATGATGGAGACACGAACGATGCAACCGCCGCAACTAGCACTGGCCGAAACCGTCTGGGCTGGAGAGGAGGACGTTTGGGACGCAGCCGTCGACCTCACTATCGTCTTACCGCAGAGGACTTGCAATCACCCGACCCTGGGACGCTCGAACCTGTGCGTCAGGGACTCATGACAATTCATACAATGCTCCCTCATGCACAAGTTTCGGAAACGCATGATATGATGTCACCACTAGATGCCAATCGCCGCTGGTATCGCGGACAGTGGATTGATGTGCGAGACACGGTCAACCAATGGCTAGAAGCAACCGTTGTCGATATTATGACTCCGGATGAAATTTTACCAGCCAAAGAGGAAAATGATCAAGGCGATGCCGGAAATATTCCAATTTTGGAACCCGCCACGGACCCTGCCGTCAGTGCGGGAGATTTGGACGGCCGTAGACGTCTCTTGCTGGAACCCTGCGATGAGGGTGATTCCGATGATGAGGGAGGTGAATTGGCGGGATTTCGACGAAGGAGGACCAATGGGGGCGTGCAGCTCTTACTAATTCATTACAATGGTTGGCCCCACCGTTGGGATGAGTGGGTCCGGTCGGATTCCGAGCGCATTCGTCCCTTTCGAACTCGCACCCGTCATCCGAGTATGGTACGTTTTTTCTTTTGAGAATTATGTTGTGTTTTTGTATTGTATTGCGTTGATGGAAATTTTGTCACTAATTTTTGGAAATTTTCCATGCATGGATTATCAGGCCAACCATTCTTCTCCCACAACTCAGTCTTCGTTCAATGAGTCCCCTTCAACTCACATTGTGGACACGGACAACACTCTAGAGCGGCCAGCCATTTTGCCAGAACTCTCAAGAGCAGTCGCCGCCATTAATGATCTACTGTCGGTCGTAGCGGCCGAAGAATCGGCACAGCTCACGCCAGATCGTCAAGATGATTTGCCCTGGGCGATGCGATCCAACAACACTACCAATACTACCACTGGAACAGGCGTGCTGGATAGCGATGACAATGACGATGATGAACTAGAGGATCTCCCACCGCTCGAAGCGGAAGACGCAAACGAGGAAAACGCAGCGGCAGCGGAATTATCTTCGTCGTCCAATACGCATCACAACGAGCCTCGGCTGCGACGCCGTCAATTGCAATTGCTGGCGCCACTCTTGGATCGGTTGGGTCGAACTCTCATTGATGCCGCTCCGCATGTGGCAGCGCTCGCTAATTCGTCACCCACACCAGACAATGACACGGAAGAGAGCATTTCCACGGCAGAAGCCGTTGTGGCGCCAGCAGCGGCATCGGAAGACAACCCGAGTACGTTGGGAGGATTGCTGTCGCTTTTGAGCCGCGACCGAAACCGTCAAACCAACAATGCTTCTTCGGAGGAAAACGACGGTGCATCGCCATCCAATACGATTCAAACTTGGCCAGTGGATCCGGACTATGTCGACTTTGCGACTGGAGTGGTCAACACTACGCGTGGTGAAGTTCGGAGCGGTCCTCGCAGCCGAACCCCAAATGATGATGTCGCTGGGCTTTTGGGAGCCTACTTGGCAGCGGCGTCTTTGGGCTTGAATGCTGGAGGCGGTGGGTCTTCGTCAGGAGTTGGCGATGCAGACAATAACAACAGCAACAATGACGATGCCAGTAATGTTTTGGGTCTTGGACGGTTGCTACGGGACCGTGGAGGAAATGGAGGGGGAAATGGCGGTGCAGGGATAGACATTCACATCCACGCAGTAGTGACGGCTCCTGGAATGCCCCCCACAGCGATTGGCGGAGTCACAGGAGGCGCCGCCGGTGGTCCTGGCGGTTTGGGATTTGCTACCCTTGGTAATGCCACCACCGGCACGATTGCAGGCACACGCAACTCATTGTCTCCAACTCGCGAACGCCGTGGCAGTGGAGCTAATTCGTTGTTGCGGCTTCGAACGCCTGCGTCGGCAGAGGAAGATGATGACCTTGGACTCTTCTCAGATTTGTACAGTGAATCACCCGAACCATTGGATCCCAGTGGAAGCCCAGACAACAATACACGAGGAGGAAGGGACGATGGTGCGACGGTACTCGACAACGACTTTTTGTCACGCTTGGGCGGCACCCCGACCAGACCCAGTACCCAGACATCAGGGCGTGGCGACCCTCACGGTGCCTCGCCTAGCCGGCACAGCAGTGCCAGTGATTCCTCTTCCCGAAGAAGCAGTACCAATGGCGCCAGCCCTCGTCGCGGTAGTATGCTGGGGCGTTTGTTCCGCAGAAGCCGCCGAGGCAGCAGCAGCTAAGTGAAGCACCACTTACTTCAACCCTGGATGGAGGGTGCATCACGAAATCTATTTCATGAGTAAATAATATAGAAAAGGAATCTCTTGATGGCAAGTCACTGGATCATATCATAGGTCGACTTTTGCACCGACTTGCTCGTTAGCACGAGGATTGAATCATTCGCCAGCAAAAGAACTAAAGGCTGCTAGTGACTTGACTCGTGTCAGGGCAAGCATGCTATCAGGGTTCCCTAATGCGTCAAATAGCACTTGCAAAGTAAAATGTAGCAATGATTCTATTGGTTAACCAAGAGCAGCACGGTAAAACTACGTGTGCTATCGTCTCGCTGCTCTTGATATTTCTATCATTCTGTTCTCACTTGTGAATTGCCAGACCTCTTTCGCATTCTCATGCAAAGTTTGGCAACCAACTCAGGATTTTCAGCTGTCGGTCGTTGAATGCCTCTTCCACGGCTTCTTGGGGGATCAAGTTCTTCAGAACCTGCTTCATGAAAGTGGCATTGAAGCCAGCAAGACTCCCGTAGACGGCATCCTTCCAGTATTTTTGAAGAAACTGCGGTCTCGTGTCAGGGTTCATTCCGCGACGAATGAGCATATAGCTGACGCCCCAACAAAAGGCACCAACCAATGATTCGTAGAAGACTGTCCAAAGCTTTTGTGGTGAATCAAATCCAAACAAGAAAAGTCGCTTTGTTGTCGCAGATCGACTCAACCACAGGATTAGAGTTGCAAAAAGTCCAGCGAATTCTCCGTTGGAAATGCACTTGTACAAGGCTTCCTGGTCTGCAGAGCAATTGTGAACGTTCTCAAGCTGACTTTCTACCCACGAGAGCCACTGGGGTGCCCTTGCTTGGATTTCTGCAGAGATTGTGATCAAGGCAACAAAGAGGACAAAGTAATTGGCTAAAACAAAGACCACTTGTTTCTTCTCCACTTGTGGATACCGGTACCGTTGGTCGCGCTGTTTGTCCAATAACAGGAGCTCTGTAATCTGTCGCAATTTGGCGTCTACTGAGCTCTCAGGCTGCAGCGTGTTGGTCTCGCTTTCGTTGTCGTTGTCATTGTCACTGCCGTCGGATTCATGAGCACTCCTGTTCTCCTTGGGAGAAGTCTCGCCCCTTTTGTGAGAGCCATCCTTGGCATCGAGCTTCAAAGGAGAGACCTGGTTGCGAGCAAGTCTGCTTCGATAGTGTTTTCCATTCTTTCGCGATTCACCGTCTTGCACTGCGTCAAGTTGCTTTCGAAGGAGAGCCAATTGAGATGTGTCGAGTGACCCCAGATTACCACTCGACGGAAACGGGCTTGGAGCCGCCGAAGGTGAATCAGGAGGTCCATAGAATTTCGGTGGAGTTTTCCGACCACTTTCTTGCTGCACCTTGTATCTCACGACAAACTCCGACCCGCTGGGAATGTATGGACTCAGGACGATCTCTGCGAAAGAAGACGAAAGAAGAACGCAAAAGTAGAACACCAGTTAGCCTCGGTACAAGTACATAATAGTTTTCACAAAGATTAGCCAAACTCGCCTTCTGGTGGATCCATAGCCGTATCAAGAATCCGTATATCCTCCAGTGTGTGACCAGGTTCCAGCTTGAGTTTCCTCGTCATACTACGATTAACATGCTCCTGGAGCTCGTTTGTGGATGTTCCTTCGTACCAGGACACCGTTATAGTGCCTCGATTCAATTCATTTCTGTGTATTTCACCCTCCAGTAATGGCGCCGATGACATCAGTTTCCTGGTGGAGCGCGCAAAGAAGAAGCTGCCTCTTCGAGCATGTCCCGTCGGTCTCGCCAATATTTCTTCTTGGAGTTTGAGTTTAATTTTCCGCTTTCCAGCGGGTGCGCTTGGAGCTGGCGGTGTTGGCATTGGCGGAATAGCTGTAACTCCACCAGGGTATCCAAAAGTTGGTCTACCTAGCAATTGCTGTTGATGCAATTGTTGTTGATGGTACGACGTTTGGGGATGCATCATGGCAGGTGCTGATACCTGGGGATGCATCATAGCGGGGGCCGGAGGCGGTGGCATGAAAGCATGAGGCGGTTGAATTTGCTGATGCTGAGACATCACCATGTATGATCCAGCAGGTGCCATGGCCAGAGGAGGGGGCAGTCCTTGGGGGCTGTGAGGATATGACACGTTTACATGAGACGGCCTCCAGGAATTATCTTCCATGGGTCGACCAGAATTGTCGTCTAGCGAGACCAGATGGTGACCGTCGTTGTTTAACATTGCGCCACGGCCTGAGTTGCTTCTCGATAGCGAAGCTACGGCGCTATCATTCCTTCGATGAACGGCATCTGGCTCTTGTGGAACTCGATGTTGACTGCTGTTGATTGTGTAATCAATAACGTTTTGTTGCAGTATTGGCTGTGTTTGTTGTTGTTGCTGTTGCTGTTTGCGCAACCCCTGACTTTTGAACGACTCGCCCCTTGCCAAAAGTCCGAACCCTTCCTTGTCCTTGTTGGCAAGGAGATCCGGTGACAATCCTTGCTGCTGGTCAGAGGCGATATCTGCAGCAAGCTTGTTTGCCGCCTCACTCTGTCTCCTTGAGGACGAAGCCAAGGGCGTTGGTAAGGCTTCGAACGCAACATCGATATGCTTTGTCTCCATCGGCTCGAGAGCTGGTGCAGCACTGGAGCTTGATTCTTCGCCCAGTGCTTCTTTGATTTCAGCCAGGGTGGGCGGTTTTGCAGCGTTGTCGTGATCAGGAGGATCTTCAATTTTTGCAGCATCGTGTTTCGATTGCAGATCCACAGAACATCTGCCACTAGCGTCCATCGGCCTTTTGCAAGCTGCTTCTTCGGTCGCAGTGGCTTCAGTCCCCACACTTTCCCAACCGTCATTATTGTTGCTTGCAGTCGGGGTGATTTCTTGATATTCCTGCTCGTTTGTAGGAGTCGATACCGTCTCAACAACTAGAACCTTTTCTTCTTCTTGTTCGGTTGGCTTCAAGAGATTCGTTTTGTCAAATGCGTTCTCGGATGGTGACGTGTCCTTCTTTTCGTCAAAGTCCTCAGACGCTGCTTCCGACGCTACCTTACGCAACGTTACTTCAGGGCTGGCATCAACCGGTCTGATTGGAGGGCTCGGAGGGGCCTCCGGCACGGGATCAACAGGTCCCTTCGCGGGAGCATCGACAGCTTCTTTTAGACCATTCTCGCTGGCTTCATCTATTGTAGGTTCATCCACTGCCAGTTCCACTGACTGCCCGCTGCCATTGACTGTTTCTGATGGGTCAATGTCGGGAGGAGGAGGTGGAATCGTAGATTCAGCCTCCTGCTCTACATTTGCAGCAAATTCCTCGCCTGGGCTGTTGTTAGCTGTTGGAGGATCTGTACTCTTGACTGTGTCTGTAGATTCTACAACCTGCGAATCGTCAGCTTCAGTGTGGTGGTTCCCGTTGTTGACCGAGGGGGGAGCGTCGATTGTTTCGGTAGTGGCTGCTTGTTCTTTCAGAGGCTCAGGCTCGTCCTCTGACACGCCTTCTGGATCGGCTCCTTCGGCGGGGCTAGCAGAACCCGTATCCTCCTCAGTTGTTGTTGTTGAGTTTGATAATACTACTGCTTCCCTCGTGTCATCTTCCGAGTCTTTCCCACGGGTTTCGCTTCCTTCCACGTGGCCATTCTCAAATGCAGTTGTGGTAGGCGGATCAGCCGAGGAAGTCTCCTCTGATGGTAGATCCGCGGCCGAGCTATCTACTGGCTCTTTCCCTTGCTTTTGTTCGACCACTGCTTCTGGAGTTGCGGCTTCAGGAGGAGAGGCTAACTCTTTGAAATACGGTTCGTCTTGAGACTCCACTCCTGTTGACGATGCGACCCCATCCGTTAACGTTGGACCATCAGCACCATTCGTATCCATACAGCCCTCCAACGACATGATGGACCCTTTTATGGATGCGTTTTGTTGATGGAGAGGAGAAAAGGTTGAAGATGAGATACACAGACGTTCGTAACTCCGGTACGGTAACAAACGGCCAGCTGCACAAAGACTCCGAGGGGAAATGAGATGACGAACACATTTCGATAAAAATAAATAAATAACTTGTTTTCTTGACGTGGCCATCCCGAGTCCCGCATGTTCGTGACCAAAAAGGCGCCAAACACCACAACCACCAAAGGAACAAAAAGCCAACATTTGCGGTCTCTTCATTCCAGCATCCAACAGTGCCTCCTAACAACAGCTACCGGTATGTAACCAACTTACCTCGAGGACGATTGTTCAAAGCTAGAGAAATGCCTTCTTCTTGGTCGTCACTGCTTCGTTCACTTCCACTATCACCGAGATGTTCTGTTGTTACAGGCGATGGCGATTCCGGAAGAAGAAAATGCCTGTTCCTGCCACTATCCATGTTCCAGGTAATGGCGGAAAGATAGGTTAATGGATGTTTGTTGATATTATTTGTTTCTTGTGTCTGTGGGATCCATGAAAATGTTGTTGTTTCACGTGGAAATATATTGGTACGTGTATGACTGTATGGTACCACTCTCGACTGCCAGTTGTCACAATCGTTTGTGAGAGTACTAGTACTGTCAGAAATTGAATGGAGAGCGCCAAATTTGAGGAAAACTACTTGACACCACTTTGTGACAACCTTCGTATGAGGCCCTGCCGGTGTGACAAATAAATAGATGAGAATCGGCCATCAGCTAACGGCCAAACACAAGCTACTAGCAAGCAAGCTGATTACCTTTCAATTGGAAAATGAAATTGCGGGGAATCGGCTTTTCGAGCAGTTCCTTTTGGCCAAACTGCTAGATTGAGTTATACTTCCATCAACTAAATTTTATGTATTTTTACTAATGTGTAGTCTGAAAGGGCCCGAAATCACGATTTGCATGTAATTCTGCTTTATATTTGGGTTTCGATTTTATATTTAGGTTTCGAGTTTATATTTAGGTTTCGGTTTGATATTTTGGTTTCGGTTTGATTTTACTAGTTGTTTACTATAGTAATTTGGTTTCGGTTTTATACTACGGATTCGAGAACAATTGACCCGGTGCAGCAAGACTGATTTCTGTGATATGGCCTCTTGATTTCTGTGACACAAAAATCGGGGCATGACCTCTAAGTAAACTGGAGAAAAGGCGTGAAGGAACAAGGAATTGTGCAGGATTCAGTTGAATCACGAGCTCGCGATTTTCATGACACAGAAATTGATTTCATCCTAGTAGGATTTCTACAGGGGTCTACATGAAGCCAATTTCTGTGACACAGGGACAATTATTCTCGAATCCGTAGTATTTAGGTTTCGGTTTTGTATTTAGGCTTCGATTTTATATTTTGGATTGGAATTGATCAATTTAATTGGATTCTTAAAATCCTGATTTCGGGCCCTTTCTCTAGCATTCAAGGTTATGTCATTATATTCTTCCACATTCAGTCATTCTTTGAAATGCAGTACAGGAAAATTGAAGACTTGACCAATGCAGAAAATATGTATTCCCGCAACTCCACTGCGAATGGTGAGGTCTATGTTTTTGTTTTGAAAAAAACATACATGATGGATTGAGATCTGTGTTGCACCGAGGTCCTACGACTGAAGAAACCAAATTGAGCTCTACTCGCTATGGGCTGCCCATACCAAAATACCCAGTAGCCAGCCAGCAAGATTCAACTACATGTACCGGTACGGATGGACTGGGGTAGCAGCGTGCCAGTTGGCTATTGGTTGATCCAGCGCAAGACCAGGTCATGAGATCTGTTTCAGTTTATAGTACTAGCTAGCTAGTATGGAGGCCACACTCCCTTTGTGAAAGGGCTGGACGGCTGGACCGAAGGAACCTATTTTCTTCATTGGTTGCTGTTACTCTTTTAAATTTTAAATAGTTTCACCTCACAAGCCGAATCATATTTCCCCTTCAACGTAGCGATGCAGCACTGAGTCTACAGCGCCGGACAAGACCTCAATGGCAAAGTCCATGTCATTTTTGGTGTGTGCTGCAGACACACACAGGCGGATGGAAGGCTGTGGCTCAGCACGCAACAGCTGTACACCAGCACGAGTGTTGTGGTGCCCTGCGGAAACCATTCCAGCACCTCGGCGGAGACATTCTCGCACCACTTCTGAGAGGAACACAGTCTCATCAATGTCTTCTGTCTCTGCACATTCGGCCAGCACAAGGAAAACAATGGGAGATCGCATGTCACTGGCAATCAAAATCAAATCCTCTTTCTGTTCACAGAAAATTCGCAATTTGTCGTAAATGTACTGTGTGTTGTCGTTCAGCTTTGTCAAGAGCTCCTTAGGACGAGTCTTCAGTTCGTTCAATGCCACAACTGCTGCACTGGCAGTAAATGGTGGTGATGCGGCACTGAAACAATAGCCAGAACCACTGAGCCTCTGATGATCTACAATCTCCTCATTGCCAATGGTGACTCCGCCAATGCTACCGATGGCATTTTCAAGGGCAATGGTGACAACTTCAGCATCATGCATCAACTTTTTGTTGAACAGCTCAAGGGCTCCTCGGCCAGTGGCCCCAAGTGTACCAAAGGAGAATGATTCATCCAAAATCAAGCGGTAGTGGTACTTGTGCTTCAGGGCAACGATTTTGTCGAGTGCAGCAATCTGTCCTGTATTTTTGTAGAGGCCTTCACAAATGATAAAACGACGCTGAGCATTGGGACCTCGACCAAGCTTCTTGTCGTTCTCCGCAACACTCTCTACAACCCGAGACAAATCCTCCTACAGACAAGAGTGACGCTTCCTGGTTGGCACACGGAGAAGAAACTATCAAGAATCGAACAGCAAAAACAAACATACCATATCATTGTGCTTGAACCATTTGACGTAGGCTCGACTCAGCTTGACTCCTGCAATGAGAGGTTCACGCACACCTTCATCAACCACCAACAAATCTCCGCGCTGTTTGGAAAATAGAAAAGGTCACAAAGTGGATGCCGGTCAGCAATAAGTTTGTAGATCAATTAAAAAATTGGACAGATGAAACACTTACTTTGCAAAATGCGGCGACTGTACTGCTGACTGTGGATGCACCATCGGAATACAAAATGGCACCTTCGGCACCCATGAACTTGGTGATTTCTTCTTCCAATTTGAGATGGGGATCAATGGTTCCATAAAATCCTCGAGGACCACAGGCTCCCACTCCATACCGTTGCAATGCTTCCACAGATGCTTGTTTCACGGGGTTGCTGCTGGTCAAGCGATCATCATCATCCTTTGCTTTGGAGGCCGTATTCTTTTTGTTCTTTTTCTTTTTGCGTTTGCCATTTTTAGAAGTTTTGTTGCTGTTGTCATTGTCGGCCTGTTCCGTTGTGTTTGCTTCTTCCTCCTCCTTTTTCTCTTCAGCTCCACCGAAATTGTTGTTGCTGTTGTTGTATGCGTCTTCGGCAGCCTTTTCCTGCATGATCGCCAACTCGTTGCCATTGGCATCCTTGATACTGCTTTCGGGGGCAGTGAATGCGGCGGACATGCCCAAGAAATCAAAGGTTCCAAAATTAATGACATTGTAGATTTTGGTAGGATCATTGTCCATGGAAACTTGCATTTTGGTGCCTTGTACCTGATGCACCAAAAAGGTCGGGACATCCTTGGCACCCGTCGGCAGTCCTGGTGCCACCAGAGGAGCTCGACTGTTTTCCTTCCACTCATTAATGAGATCTTCTTCTTCCTTTCGAGTGAGTTGATCATTTTTGGACTCGGACCAATCCTTGGATCGACTGAGGAACATGTAAATGACCGAGATTAAGAGTGTAGTTTCCACCAATACGTGGACGGGGTCCTTCATGAGCAAATCCCACCACCAAGTGCTGTACAGCATGGGGAAATTGCAAATGGCAGACCACGACGGCAGCGTTTCCTGGAAGCCGGTCCACAGTTCATTGAAATCTTGCTGCGTGGTTAAAAATCCGTGCACGGCCTGACCCACCTGAAAGCCAATGGCATGGACACGGGGGAGAAATTTAAAAGTAGTAGACATGGTCGATTGGGTTGTTTAAACAATGACAACACCACACCTGGAGAAATTTTATTGTTGGAGTTTGGTAGGAACACCAACAAGACGAAGGAAGACTACTAGAGAGTCAAAGCGAGTGGCCCCACGTGCTGCAAGACCACAGCAAAGCGGACCCGTGTGGTGCCTTGCAAAAGATACTGTCTTCCAATGTCGATGGATGCGCTGGTTGACCAATGCCGATGAAGCGTTGGGCATGCATGCCTGCACGAGTGCAATTTTCGCTCGCAATTCCAAGCCAATGGCGGTCCTGTGTGGGAAAAGGTGGGTCTGGATCCGGCTTGTACTGTTTTACTCTAGATCTTGATGCCATAAATCTTTTTTCGTTGATTGTCGCGCTGGAGCGATGATTTTGAAGAAGACGAAAAACCCAAACCCAATCTTCGAGCACTTTTGCAGAGGGATTCGGGTGCTGTGCTAGCTAGTGTGGTACCACAGTCGTTTTCTCTTCAAGACTGCACAGTGCATGCATGGCAACAGGTTCACAAGTCCAATTTGCAGGCAACAGCTCCTGTACGTTTTCATAAAGAAGGATTCGATTCTATTCTATTCCGTAGTTAGAGCAGAACAATGCCCAAGTCGAAATCCAAGTCCCCAAATCGTCGTCGTGGGGCCAAATCCTCGGTTCGCAACAGCGACGCCACCGAAGTGGCATCCAACGCGCCCAGTCGAACCACGGCTCGCAGCAGCAGCAACGATACTACATCCTCGACCGGCCGCCGTTTGGTCATTCGACCCTTGGCATCCGTGGGCGATAGCGGGAAGCCTTCCACATCAGTGTCCAAGGATCTCCGTCGTGTCTCGAATTTCATTGAAGATGAACGTCATTTGGTGGCCTACGAATTGTATCGAAATGTCAAGCCTCGTTGGGAAGCTTTGATACACGAGAAACGAGGATACGATGCGGCTGCCACGGAAAAAGCAAACGAGAAAAAAGGCCGTGCTTGGATGAAAAAGGGAGCCAACGAGGAAGAGAAATTCGATTTGAAAGAATTTGAGGCGGCCAATGCAATCTTTCAAAAACACAAGGAAAAGTTCGCTTTGCTCATGGTAAGTGGTGATTTTTTGTATGTATTGTTTTGCGTTCATAGGTTTGGTGTTGGAATTTAAATTCTAATGATCATTCTGGATCATTTTCTATTACTGCAACAATAGAAAAGAGCGCCTCTGTTACTGGAGTGTCGGGACAATATGGACCAATCGGAAGGATGGACGTTGGCGCAAACTCTATTCGGTGTTACAACCTGCTATCGCCGTGAAGACGACGGAAGTTTGAGTATCAAACTCGACGGAGAGCTCAAGGGTGTTCCCTTATTTGAACAGGTGGCTGTATTGCGAGAAGTCGATTTGCACTCGTTTTGGGCTCCCTTTGTTTCTTCCAGTCAAACACTGGCGCATTTGGACAAACTAGATACTGTGGGTTGGTTCCAAGTCGGTCTACCCAATTTCGGCGTCGCCAGAGACAGCGTTTTTCGGGCTATGGGGTGCGATTGCGTGGCCGAGGATGAATCTGTCTTGTTGGTCGGTCGTGGTGTCGAGGACCGACCTCCGGGTGTGGATGTTCCAGACTCCCGGGCCAAGTTTATGGTCGAAGATCCCGTCCTAAAAACACTGGATATCCCTCCTTGGCCCACACGAATGGGGGCTGGACGCATGACCATGAAACGTTTCGAAGCAAAGATTAAAGTTATGGGCCCGGATCATTGTCACACATACCTGATAGCCAACTTGGATCCCAACTTGGCATTCATCCCCACGTCATTGCTGGAATATGTCATGAAGAAACTATGTGGATTCCTGCTGAACAAACTGCAGGGCGCAGCCAAGAAAATTCCCAAGGATCCTGTCAGGAACGTCCACGCCCAACGAATGCGCGACGAAGCGGCGTTTTATCGAGATTGGTTGTATCCAAAGTTCAATGCCATCGCTGCCGAAAAAGGATGGGTCATGTCACCGATTTCCGCGTTTGAATTGACGGAATCGCAGCAAATGGAGGTGAATAAACTCAATGCACGAAGGACGACGAAGATGCACAGCTTTAGTGAATTTGATCCGGGAAATTCAAGCAAGGAAAAGGTCAAAATTGATTCCACCAGGAGTGAACCAGGAACGTACCGCCCTCGTAGCAAGCAGACCAAGAGGAGTAATTCCTCGGGTGATGAGGATGACGACTCCGACAACTCGGACATTAGTAGCTTGTCGGGCACATCACAATCCATTTGGTCGAGGAATCCAATTTCGTCCTATCTTCGTGACGTCGAAGCCAGGACGCAGGAACGCAAAGACAAGGCGAAGCAGGATTCCCAACGAAAGGCTCTCGCTCGTTTGCGCCCGAGACCCATATCAGTCGACAAGCAGGAACGTCTACTGGAACTTAAAAAGTGCAAGCAACGAAAGCTGCAGAATCGTTGGTCGTCAATGGATTCGATGGATACGTTGCCGCCTGTTGAGGAAACGGATGGTGACACTGTCGTCACAGGCCGATCAGTCCCATACTCCCCCATGACAGCGTCCATGAAGGGACACGGACGGTGGCCGCGCTTCTTGTTGGTTTCTATGGCAATTTTGTTCTTGTCAACCATGCTGCATGCGAGCAAGTTCCTTCTGCCGTCATTTGGCAGTCACGGATTCGTCTCGGTGATGCTGCGAGAATTGTTTGCTGTCTCTTATTTGGGCCTTTGCGGTGTGGCACACTTTGCGATTTGCGACATGCTGTTAATTTACGCATTCGAAGCCTTTGAATTGGGAATGAAATCTGGAGAGCAGGTCAAGACATTCTACCGCGGGCAAGTGCGTTTTGGCACCGCGGCTGTGTCAGGAATGCTGGTGGTGTCTAGCGTTTCAAAGGCTGTGGTTCTTGCGACAATTAAGTCCGCCATTACGGCCGTTGCCAATACATACAACCACCACATGAGCGGCAGCGACGCCGAAGAAGAATTGATTGACGGGGTAGCAGATTCGGTAAAAGAACCAGCAACCAATCTGGCAATGCAAATCAACGAAACATTGGGCTCGATGCTCCCTGGCTCTTTCATTCTGGGCTACTCAGCACTTGCGAGCTTTCTCGGTGACAGTCACGTCACTGTGGCGAGCTTTCTCGTTCACAGCTACGCCACTGTGATGAGCTTTCTCGTTCACAGCTACACCACTGTGATGAGTATTTCTCACTCAGTGTTTGACTGGCAAATGGCGGTCTTTGTCCGTTCCAACTTTCTGGGTCGGTCGCTGGAACGCGTGATTACAGGTACCTACGACTGGTGGATCGGTTTGCTGACTGGAGTTGCAAACGGAATGTTGTCCTTTGCATCTTGCGACGACCCGTCTTCGGAGGCGTTTTCCTGGCGGGAAGATGCTACGGCAACGTTGCGGCCACTTTTGTTATACACCGTGGTCTTTCTGTGGGTGGTTCTGGGTCTCGTGAACATTTTGGCCCAGAGTTATCGGCACCGCAAGTTGGATCCTGATGCCGCAGCGTCATTGGCTGCCACTTCAACCAACAGCGACAACAGTGGCAGCTTCGTTCCAAACATGAATGGCGACAGGACGAAGTCGTCCTCCGCCCCTCTTGACTCTGCTAGCAAACGGTCCAATTCCAGCAGCAGAAGGAGGTTGAGGTTCAACCGGAAAAAGAAGGAAGCGCTGGAGGACGACGATTCCATGATGTGAGCGTTCAGGAGTCAAAGAGTGGGAGGGCGGGAGGGCTAAAAGGCACGAAAAACGAGATGAAAAAGGAACAACAACAATACTGTAGCATTCTTTTTTAACAGCTTCTGACGTCGATGGGTCCAGGTCCTTGAATAAGAGGTTTTGTATCGATACATGTTCAAGACAGCAGCATGCAGAGCTCGGGCAATGCAGCTAAGCGGTCTGGAGAATAAATATAAACATAAAAATTGATACAGTTAGAGAGAGCAGTTTGTCAAATGCAGCAAAAAGTGAGAATACCAAATAATTTTACTGGAGCTAGGGATGGAACGACCGGTACAATGGACCAACAAGTACAAACTTCTGGGGGAACCCGGATGTTCCGTGGTGTTCTCTCACAAAATGGGGCCTCATTTTTTGATCTGCTCTTCTCTGATGCCGATGAAGCTGCCGTCAATACCCCTATCAACTTAACCAATAGAGCCACCCTATCAATACCCCGAGATATGGGATACATAATTTGGACGTGCCGGTCGCAGTGGTGGTAGTGGCTTCTCCATTCGTTGGTTGTTGAAGCAACGAACGACTGGCAAAGTGGGGCTGCCATTTCTGACAATTTTTTCTGTCACCAACAGGTCGACCAATCTATATGCTCACTCGTAGCCCCATTGGACCCATCTGATGCGTCCATTCCTTAAGTTAGACAAACCAACATGACTGGAATGGCTAAAGCCATTGATTCTATCTGATGAACAACTAGAATAGATGCTGGAATTGTTGCTCCGTCGTTTTGGATTTGTGGTCTTAGGCTGCCACTTTTTTCTATTAACTCGTTGATCCTACTCACTTTCAATTATATCTTCCTCTCTAATGCACCCATTAGATCAATAGCTATGATTGGGTTGATAGCAGAAGGATCAAACAGCCCAAAATCAAGGTGAATCTGAGAACTTTTGGAATATTTGGAAGAAAATGAAGCATCTAGTTTGACATAAGATAATGCCTGCTACATGTCTGCAACCACTACAACCATCACATGGCTGTGACAAGCAAAGAACGTAGACAACTCTAGATAGTTAGCTTGGTTGTGTAGGTGCCATATTGGTTGATATATTGGTTGATACCTTCTTGTCCTCTATTGCCATTAGGGGCAGGTTTGAAACCTGCGCCTAAAAATAGGGGCATTTTGGAGAATCCGCCCCTAAATCCGCCCCTAAAATAGGGGCGATTTGTCATTTAGGGGCATATTTCAAACCCGCCCCTAAAATAGGGGCGTTTTCTATGTATTTTGAGTACAGTCCCGTTTACTTTTTAGGCTGGTTTTGAAACCCGCCCCTAAATATTAGGGGCAGTTTCTAGAAACTGCCCCTAAAATAGGGGCGTTTTCACCATTCAGGGGCAGGTTTGGAATCCGCCCCTAGTTTGGAATCCGCCCCTAATATTAGGGGCGGATTCCAAACCTGCCCTTATTTAGGAGCGTTTTGCACGACTGAGGGACGCTCCTGGGATTGACAGAGACAAGCCTTCAGGCTAGAGTTCTGGTTCTTTTGAAGCAGAGCCCTGGACCGTCCGACGGTTGTCACTCAGGATTTAAAAGCTTCCACGATTGACTAAAAACTTGATCACCACAATTAAGGGATTTTTTTAAAGGGATAGTCAAAAATTTAAGGGATTGTTTATTTAAGGGATTGTTTAGGGGATAGTTGAAGAAATAGGGGATAGTTGTATGGTGTTTCCATTCGGCGTTAAGGGATTGTTTAAGGGATAGTCCAAGATTTAAGCGATTGTTTTTTAAGGGATTGTTTCTTTAAGGGATTGTTTAAGGAATAGTTGATAACTTAAGGGATTGTTTAAGGGATTGTTTTAAACGGTCATCAGTTGTGGCAATTTTAAGTTTTTAAAATCCTGTTTTAAGTTTTTTGAAATCCTGTGTGAAAACCGTCGAACGGTCCTGGTGACTGAATAAACTACATGTACTCCGGCAGGTGCCTACCTGTAGCCAGACTAGCTAGTACCGTACTGGTAGAGGAGGGATGGACAAGACGAAGCAGCAAGGGAAAGCAAACCTGGAAGATCCAACAAGAACCAGAGAGCAACTGTGCGCTCCAAACAACTGATTGAGGGTTTAGTACTGTAGTTCACCTCCAGGAAGACACGGTGATTGATTATTTTTGCTGAAACTGGATTCAGCAAATTCAGCATCAGTCAGCATCAGTCAGAATCAGCCAGCATTTTTCAGCAATGGATTCAGCAAGTTCAGCAAGATTCAGCAGAATTCAGCAATTACTAGTAAATAACCTTGGTTGGATTCAGCATCAGTCAGCATTTTTCAGCAATGGATTCAGCAAGTTCAGCAAAATTCAGCATCAGTCAGCATTTTCAGCATCAGCCAGCAATCATCATCAAAAATTCAGCAAATTTCAGCATGCAAGACTGAAAAATGCTGAAATTGTTGAATGACCGTGTCTTCCTGGCGCAGAAGAAGAAGAAAAAGAGATTCATTACATGCTTTACTTGGACAGCGAACGGTCTATCCTGTTGTTTTAGATATCCTTGAAAATGGGAGCATCGGCACCGGTAACAAAGCACCGGTGCTTCTGCTGCGGACTATTAAGAGTAACTACTTCTGCTACTGTACCTGTACCTGTACCCAGTAGGAAGATGGCGCTGTCCGACGGCCTGAAAGCTAACCTCTCACCCCAATCTACTAGCTACCGGTACCGGTACGGTTCCCTTGACAGGTTAAAAATCTCTCTCTCAACTGCCAAACGAAGAGAGTTATGCCTCCTGGCACCACTTCCCAAGCATTCTAGTGTTGACAACGCTACAGTATTCAGTATTTTTTGCAAAAACTCAAATAGTAGCTACCATAGCTAGTAGCTAGTAATAAGCTCGTGGACAATCTATGACCATACTTTTGAAGTCAATAAAATGAGCTATAATGTATGTGCCATACCAAGGTACCAGTACCAGGTACAACAAACCAGCTCACCAACCGCAAGTACTGGTATCTACTTGAGAATTGAAAATCTTGGAGACAAGGGAGGAGGGAGACAACAATCAGTAGCACTATGACCCGACCGTACTAAACACTAAAGCTGAGGATTTAAAACCTAGTTTCGGATTCAATTCACCTCCAGGAACAAACGTGTCGCAGTTAAGGTTCTGGCATCGCCTGTTGGTACCGGTAGCGCCGGTTGCTACATTTTTGACACGTCCAACTTTGTTGAGGCAGAGCTGGGAAAATGGATAAAAGTGTTGCCAAGCACAGGTGTCAAACTTGAAAGATTTGGTTCCTCCCGCGGTTTCGGTTGCTCCCTCTACTACAAGGCATCCCAACTCCAGCATCTTGTTCTTCGTGTTCTCCTTGAATTTCTTGTTAGTCAAAAACACCATGGTGGCATTTTCAAACTGACCGTCGGAGCTTGTCAACTGACTTCCCGATTCATACAGCCCCACAAGCTTTGAAAGCCGGTCTTCAGCCTGTTTGATTTCCTTACCGTTCTTTACGATTTTCTTATCGTACTCTTTGATTTCCTGATCGTGCTTGTCTAACTCTTCTGCTTCTGCTCCTCGTTCCTTGGCCGCCTGGGTGACTGCCGCGAGTTTTACTTTTCTTGCCTCAAGCTCTATTTTTCTTCCTCGAGTTCAGGCAGTCCCACATCTTCACGAGTTGCCTGCCTGGTCCCAGCTTTTGCCATTTCCAACACGACATCGTATTTAGAATTAGCGGTGAACGTGTGTTTTGTTTGCACAATCATCGAGCGAAAAAGCTTGGCCTCTAGACTTGCCGTATTTTCTGTCATATGACGTGACGTCACCACTTGAGCAGCCTGCTGTACTCTTTGCCTGTTTGGTGTCTCCGGTGCTTGGTCTCGTGATGTCATCTTCCGTCTCACCGGCGACCCCCCGTCTTGTGACTTCTGAGCCTTGGGCTGCACCGCTGCGACCATTGTGTCACCAAAGGCGGCCATGGGTGCGTTCAAGAAAATCGAATCCGTCATGTTGCCATCCACTTTGTAGCGTGCCTTGTCCTTTCCAGTCATTGGAATGACTTTTTGCATTCATTGGAGAGTCCAAATCTTTTCAGTCTGCATGTATCGAATCGCTTGCCACTCCAGACAACTGAGAGCTTCGAGCTTGTCGGGTTCGTGGTGCAATTCCACAAACCAAGGTGCCAGCGTAACTGCGCATACAAGCGTGAGCGCGGGAGACATTGTCCATTCCAGAAAGCTTTTGTCAACAGTATCACCATCTGTCTGCCTATCCACCAACCCTTTGGTACAGGCAGCGATACCATCTTTGGGGATTACCCTTTTGTAAACAGTGTCCCGAACGCGCGAACAATGGCACCCTCCGCATTCTGCTTGACCGCGGTTTGCGCGCATGGAAACAAGTCCCAGTGTGCTTACCATCAGTAGGATACAATGCGAATAATCAAGCTTTTGGATACCATTCATTTTAAGATACCTCTGGGCAACACGCAACATTACATACGTAGTCATGGAAGCAAAATGCTCTACTGCCTTATCTTCTGGTGTGCCTTCTGCTAGTCCTGCGGTGATGTCACAAAGCACTTCTGCCGTAACCTCCGCACATCTCTGGTTGGTAATCAAAGCTGTCAAAAGAGGAAACGCCTTCCACCATTCGTCGAATCTCTCTGTGACTATCAATTGGAGTAGGCTCTTTGCTTTGTCCTCTTCGACAGGACGCATTTGAACCTTGATCATTTGTTGTGGCACAGTCGGCTGTTCCAGCACGCTGTCACTAAGCGCCATACTGCCAACCATGAGAAAAACGCCAGCAAATACATCCCGCAGTTTTCTGAGCAATTCCAGAAAGTGTTCGTGCGTCCAGTGATTTGGGACTTCATCTAGAACCAAAACCAGCTTTGTCTCTTTCCAAAAGTCGACGGGGAGTGTAGCTGAGGCGGCTTTCGGCACCGCCACGTTAATAACGTCGTAGAGTATGTTTACGTCCTCATTCAGTAAATCAACTGCCGGTGAAGTATCGTAATAGTCACCCGAAGGGTTGGGCCATCTCCCGGTTTGCAGGTAGATGGTCAGTTTTTTATCGTGAAGAATTCCGTATTCATGCAGAGCACTATAAAGCATGGCCGTGGTTTTGCCCGACCCTGAGGATCCGGTGAATGCGATATACTGTGGTTCTTTATCAACATCATTTTTTACTCCAGCCAAACTAGCCATGTGCGCTGTGAGGTCAGGTGCGTCGGAGGTCTTTCCCACCTGCCAAGATCTGGCTGCAGTGGAGTAGCTTTCAACCTTTTTGACTATGTCCCTATCCACCACGTTTGTTAAAGGAGATGAACACAAGTCCCTTCAGAGACTGGCAAAATGTTCTTCCATGAGATCTTCGAAGCTCCGGCGATATGCCTTACTAGGGTGGTTTGACGTGATCTTGTACAGCGGGGTTTAATGTCTCATTGGTCCATGTGACATGCGCATCAATCGCCACAAGAAGTTTGGTGTGGTCATCCGCATCATAACTGTTCACAATTGTTGGCCCATTCTCTCCAAAGCACGTTGCCAGCTGTGCCATATAGTCGTCATCGTTGGCTTGGGCGTCCAACTTGGCTTGAACCTTGACAACAATCAGTTTGGTGGTTTGGTCTGCAGAAGTTGGCTCTAATATTCTTTGCTATTTGGCGTTCTTCTCTCCTTTGTCAGCCATAGCCGTCGACACACTCGTCTGATGAAGGAACGATGTACCAGGTATCATACTGACTGATTGACATCTTGTTGCAAGAGAATATGCATGTTTCAAACTGTCTTCACTCATTTTTGTAATCCTGAGTGAAAACTGTCGGACGGTCCTGTGCTGCATTTTTGTGTGTGTGGAGGGCGTACCCTGTTTACGGTATGCTTTTGTTTTTGATGACACCCGCGGCGCTCGACTGCTGGCACGGGACCGACGGGAATGGCCGTTTAAAAGAGGGTAAGGAGACTCCAGCACGACGGATTGATGCTAGGAGGCATAAACAAAAAATGCCGAAGCGCGCGCCCAACGGCGAGTACAGGTTTAATAAAGGAAGTGGGTAAGACACGTAGAAAGTGTACCAGCGCTACAGCCTAAAAATGAACCAAAACCATCTAAGAAAATGACTGTCTCAAAGACCGATTGACCCATAAGTAAATCATCACGAAATCTATCTGAAGTACCATTGACTGATAGCATTTTACCCATACTGAACTCATGAATTTTAATTAACATCATCTCCTAGTACCCCATGTTGAGTATGTATTTCATTTTTGTTATACTTTTTGTGAGGTTCCCTAATATTTTGGTCCAACATTGAGTCCTGTTAACTCAGTCAATAGTGAGTGAGACAGAAGGTTTCTGAAATGATAGTGTCGCTGGCTGATGTCTCAAAGCCATGGACCAAAACCGATTTTATACTCGTACCTCCAATTTTTTCGCAGCCATTGCTCTGGTGACTGGAATTATGATGCTGTCACCACCCCCATCATTTGAGTCAAAACTTAGCAATTTAAGCTACTTTAGCTGCTGTTGTCGTCTTTACGGAACATGTTTGCCATCAAGGGAACGGGAAACCGACATGTTTACAGCCAGCGGGATATCAATCTCAACCTCGGTGCCAAATGGCAAAGCATTAGGACCCTCTGTCAGATCAGAAATCCGCTCAAACTCGACAGCATCCCCAATAGAAAGTGAATGAGTTATAAGGGGTGCCCCATTTACAAGTGCAAGATCGCCGTGAACATTGTGAGACAGGTTACAGGGAGCACCCTGAACCCAAAACTGCCAGAAGAAAGCATGATCCTCCATTATTGTCGACATTTGAGAATCTCTTGACCTGTTTTCCTGTTTCCTTGTCGCGCACTTCCGTTTGAAGATATAGCTTTTGTGTTCCAACGCCCAAAGGCGTGCCTTGTACCGAGCAATGCCAGTCTTTCCATATTTGTGGCAACAAGCACACTGGCACAAATTTCCTTTCATCGGGACATCTTTTTTTGTGAGTGTTTCATAAGAGAGAATGTCATCAATTTCAATTTGAATCCCAAAGGAGAGCTTCTGGGCAAAATTGTTGTGTTCAATATCCCCACATGCTCTCTGTTGCTCCTGGAGGTAGTAACGCCGAAAAGAAGAAAACAAATGACAACCACGGTAAGCCATGGAGGAGGGTTTGAACTTTGACAGATTAGAAAAAAGTCTCTCTCTCAACAGGACCTCTGTGGAAACAGTCATTCGTGGCAATTTACTTATACGACGATACACCAAGCCATAGGAGATGATCCGAGTGATTTAAGAGACGAAACCGATTGTCTCCTAAAAATAGATGATGATTTAAAAGGAGACAAAATTTTAAGAGACAATGGTTTCGAAATAGGAGACGACCCTGGAGATTTAGGAGACGAACCCATACAGTTTACACTGTAGACTTAGGAGACGATCCGTTGAGAATAGGAGACGATCCATTGAAAATAGGAGACGATTCAAGAGGAGATGAAAGCTTTAAGAGATGATTCCTTTTTGTCTCCTATTTTTAGGAGACGAAATCCATTAAATAGGAGACGATCAAAAGGATTTAGGAGACGATCGGTAGCACGACTCGAGTTTCCACAGAGGAGTATCGGGAAATGAGGCATTTGATGTCAAATTGACATTTTGATGTCAATCCATGGAAGCAAAACTCAATTTTGATTGGTTTTGACATTGTTTGATTTTTTGACAGTCAAAATGGTTCAACACCTGTCAACATTAAACTTGACAAATTGATGCAAATCAGCAAAGTCAATGTCAATCAGCATCAGTCAACAGAGTCTTCCTCGACTCCCAACCACCGCCTCAGCTGTCCGCAATCTGGTTGGCATGGGCAGTTCACAGGACTATTGGTACAACCAAATACACCTGAGTATGTAGTGTCGAAACGATAGTGCTAGCGTTGGGGAACAACGGTGATATCCAGTACACCAGTGCACCAATCCAAAACCGTTGGAACCCAACATTGAACTGAGAAGCCCCTAAAAAAAAAGATACCATTGTCCTCTTCCTTTGGTGGCTGCTCAGAGCAATGAGTGGTTGGCTCCTAGCTAGAACTATCTGCAGTGGCAGCCAGTCTAATTGGAGCATATGTGCTACCACATTGCTCCGCTTAGAGTTATGGCTACAGGAGTCTTCCTCGACTCCCAGCCACCGCCTCAGCTGTCCGCAATCTGGTTGGCATGGGCAGTTCACAGGACTATTGGTACGACCAAATACACCTGAGTATGTAGTGTCGAAACGATAGTGCTAGTGTTGGGGAACAACGGTGATATCCAGTGCACCAGTGCACCAATCCAAAACCGTTGGAACCCAACATTGAACTGAGAAGAACCCATGTGCTGACGAACAGCGTGTCGCAGACATGATGCCGAAAGCCCCATGTCAACTGAGTCAGCGGGCACCCGGAGTGGTATAAAAAAAACCCACCTTTACTCACGGTGTAAACCCACAAAAGAAAGAGGCTCGCAATGCAATAAGATGCAAGCCAACATAATGTATGAGTGAATGAAGGCTGAAATTTAAAAGTTAGGCCACCGGGATGACAAAAAGTAGCCAGTTTACACTCTTGGAGGAGGGAGAGCCAGGCGCAAAGGGCGACCATGGCAATCAATCAGCGGCACAAAGGGCCACCACCACCACCATTCGAAGACAGAGGCATTTGGTGGCAACATGGCCACATCAACAGTTTATACTCGTGTAGGAGTCATCGGCGGCACAGGGCCACACCGGAATTGGCGGCAAAAAGGGTCACACCAATAGGATTGCTCAGCGGCAGAAAGGGAGTGCCACACTAAAACGATCCTCTTTCCGCGGCACAAGGCCACACGGAGCCAGTTTATACTCGTGTAGGAGTCTGACAATTCGGCGGCACAGGGCCACACCGAGTTTGGCGGCATAGAGCCACATCGAGGCAGTTTATACTCGTGTAGGAGTCTGACAATTCGGCGGCACAAAGGGCCACACCGAGAGATCCAGTTTCAACTCCTGGAGGAGGAAATCGGCAGCAACAGATGGGCCAGGCCGATCCAGTTTCAACTCATGGAGGAGGAAAAGCCATCAGTTGGTGGCAGCCAGCAATCGGTGGCAATCCAGTTTAAACTCCTGGAGGAGGAAAGGAGTCAGACGCAAAAGGCAACGGCGAGTCGGCGGCAAGTTGGCGGCAACAGAGGGGCCAGGCCGATCGGTCCAGTTTACACTCATGGAGGAGGACGAGCCAATCAATCGGTGGCGTTCCAGTTTGATCTCGTGGAGGAGGAAACCATCGGCGGCAACAAACGGGCCAGGCCAAGGAGAGAAGTAATCCAATGAGATTTTGGGAGGTCTTTCCTCGGGGAATTTCCTCTCTAGATCTGTTCCTCACATCTCAGCTGGTAGATAGGCAGTAAGGGAGCCTCAACTGGCCTTCCTCAGCAGGAGGATGGCTGTCAGTCAAGGACTTGGCCAGCGCCAGGATGGGAGATCCCTGGTTGGTGAGATTCTCCCTTCACTGGGCTGTCAAGGCCAGCTCCTCAGAGCTGGCTGCCAATGCTATTCAACCACTACTGTTGGAATGGTTGAATCGCTACTACTTACACTAGCATGGGCCACACAGGAACTGTCAACTGCGAGACTACTGGTATGCTACTGGGTCTCAGGTACTTTACTATTTCATTATTCTCAACTATGGACAAAGATGGGTGGATATCCATCTTTCCAGGTAATAAGCCAGCAAGCTGCTTTAGTGCTGCTACTACGAATCTAGAGCTCTTGCCCTGTAATTCATAGCTCCCCACAAGGGCAATGGATTCGTTCTTGCGGTACAACCACAGGTGAACGGTACGATTACCTGCGGCTAGCTACACTAAGACTCCCCATAGGATCGGCATCCTTGGGATCAAATCGTTGCCTCTGGAACGGAACAATTGACTTCAAACTGATGTGCTTGAAGTCTTCCTTGGGTCTCCCCAGGAGTGGTCATACCAATCGGCGTGACCAGCTTTTTGTCTTGAACCAAAACACCTTTCGGTCTGTTTCAGAGTATTCCAAGGGCATCAGTGTGTCAAGCAGCCTTCAATTGGTCATCCACCAACAGTGCAAGGCTTCAAGTCACCTTTTGGATTTTCTGTGCTTGTGTTTGTGCAGTGCTCTCCAGCCACACATACACACACCACACCAACAATACTCATCCAACCGGTACCCTCCCAAGGACAGGCAACACCACTACACTCACCACTACACTACTGCACTGTCTAGCCAGCGCACCAATCATCATGGTCGCAAGAAGAAAAAGCAACAGCAGGAAATGATGCCAGTGACACCATATAACTAGCATCCAATGCACCAACACACAGGACAAAACAACAGATCCACTACTGCAGAGGAACCAGCTCCAGCTCCAGCTCCAGCTCCTCCTGTCAGAACACCTGTGGATCCCCCAGGCTGTTTGTACCACCACACCACAGCGCCATCCCCAGCTTGGCTTCCTCCAATCTACCAACCATGACAACAACAACAATGATCAGCCAACCTTTTGAGCAGCTGACATTGGCATGACAGAGGCATCAAAGCAAGTGCCTTGATTCCTTCAATGCATCCTCTTCCTCCATGGCATACTATCCCATGACTCCATTCCTAGAACACCTGTGTTATCATTCAAGCCCAGCCCTGAGATAAAGGCTGGGAGAACCGATTCAGAACCAGGCAGTTTGGAACAGAGCTTGTTGGGTGATGTTAGGGACCCTCTTGGTTATCCATTCCAACTGCATGTTGCCATGGATGTTGCCTCTCCATCTATTGGAGATGGCTACCATGACCAAGTATGGGCCCCCAATGGGAAGGAATAACACCCACCAACCAACACAAATCCCATCACACCCAGGGTAGAGGACACTCCATCCAACCTGTGTCCTCCACCATCCAACCTACTGGAGTTGTCTCATCCCAGACACCAGTGTATTCAGCCATCCCTCAATCAGCCAACCTTTTGTGCCTCTGGAGGGAGCAGTCAAAGAGGAACTCCATTCCAATCCTCTGGGGAGCCATGGCCACAACCACAGGTGAAGCAATCCATCTTCTCCAACATGCATGGCATGTCTCCATGAAAAGGATGCAGGGAAGCAGTCCCAACAATGTAGCAGGTCCTGTTGGTTCAGGAAATCCAGACTGCTTTGGTGGCAAACCACAAGGTAATGACAACGGTGGCCAAGGAGATCCTGATGGCACTGATCCATGTCCTGGAGGAGGTGAGGCGGTGGCAATCCAGAACCGAAGGCAGGTACTTCCGTGCCAAGGCAGATGCCACAGCCTACCCTACTCTTAGATCCAACAAGGAGTTTGACACTTGGTATGAGGCTTTCATCGTCATAGCCAGAGCACAAGGCTTCTACAAGGTCTTCGACACTGAATATGTTCCCATGACTGCCGAGTACTTTGAAGAACTCCTACGGATGAACGATGGATCTATGCTGTCCTCCAGAACACAGTCAAGACAACAATGGGAAGGTCATATGAAGTCTCACTTCCATGATGCTGTTTGCTTTGCAATCCTTGTGGAACTGATCCAGGATGCACATGCATCAGTAGCAGGCTCCCTGGACCATGTTGAGGTCCTCCATTGGCTTTCAAGTGGTCCAGTACAGTCCAAGGCAAGGCTCTGCTGTTGACTTTGTCATCAAGTTTGACGAGACCATCACCCACTACAATGATGGCCACCGAGATCCTAGCGAACAAGCTCAGTGACAGCATGCAAAAGCTGTTCCTGCAGCGTGCCTCACCGATGTCCAAGTCCTGAACGACATCAGGTCCCGTGAGCATGAAATGATGTCCGCATGGTCCCAAAGAACGCTTCACTTACGAAGCCTACAAAGGAGACACTCAAGAATGCCGCCACCCACTACGATGTCAACCGCCGTGTTCCCGACTCCCAACTACCCAACCTAGGAACTGTTGGTTTGGAACCAAGCCATACCGGTGATGGGGAGCAGCAAATCCTCGACTCCCAAGTACAGATTGGTTCAAGCTCACCCGCCGGCCGCCAAACTCTGGTGCAAGCTCCCTGATGCCAACAGACAAGTCCTGATAGTTCGACGCCGCCTGTAGTTATTCCAAGAGTGAAGCTGCCCAGCAGTCGGGGACACCTTGATCTCCCATGGCAGACGAAAAGCCTCAAGGGCAGCCCAGCCCAATCCCAACCTGGATTTTTGATGGGGCGACTAGTGTAGTGCTGCACCGGTCAAGCCCAAGGAAACCAGGCACCGCCCATGTCTGCGGGTAGCATGCCCCACAATGGGGCTACCTTCCGCAGAAATGGCACGTATGACAATCCCCTTGCTAGATTTTTCATCATGATTCAAGCATCCGTTTTGTGATTTGCAACTTGTTTCTGTTGCCACCAGTGGTTTCAAAAGACTCATCTCTGCTGAGATGTATGTGTTGTAACGTTTTGTCAACCACGTATTGATTCCAATATGACTACTGACTTTTTGTCTTGCCCCTCTGAGCTTTTATGGGGAGACAAACAGATGGCTTCCAAGCCAATTCCAAGCCATGGTGCAAGTATGGGGAGACCAGTGGGATCCTTACTGACGTCCAAGTGAATAGGTTCCTTGAGAATGGGGATATCGCAGATAGCCTCAAGACATGTTCCACACACACCTTCGGAGTGACCAACCCAAGGTGGATGTGTATTGTCCATCCCAAGAAGTACCTCTGCGCACACCACGTCGTCCTAGATCTAACACCTTTTCTCTCTTGGACAACGATGGCAACCCAATGCATTTGCTTTGGAGCCAGCCGTCTACTTTGGAGGGTTTAGATCACAAGTGTGATGTCCCTTCCTTTGTCCAAGTGGTACCCAGCAATGGACACCTTGATGTATTCAAGAGGGCTGCTGACTTTGTATTAGTTCACAGCCAAGGTCCAAACTGAGGAACCAGATGCTCCCAGTTTTGTGGGAATGTCGAGGAATGACCCAGACATAGAGAAGCTTGTTGACGCCCCCATTTGATGATCGAATGGTGGGGAGCGATGAAATTAGCAATAGAGCCTCTATGGGTGCCCACAGCTGTGCTGGTTTAGTCGGATGGAAACAATGCTTTTCATCGTGTACAGTCAATCAGTACACACAGCATTGCAGCCATGTGACAATTTTATATAGCTGAGGCATGCCTATGTGTGCAGAGCATACATAGCCTTCAGCCTAGATACATTGGAATGTTCCAGACCAACAGTCCTCTCCTAGGATCTCCAAACTGTGGATATCCTCTCCAAAAGAGCCAGTTCTTGTCAACTGGAGTGAAATCGTGGTAATGTTGTTTTAGCTTATAGTAAGAAAGATAGTAATGAAAGAGTAACCCTGAGACCCAGTAGCACCATCAGCCCTGCAGTAGATAGATCCTGTGTGGTATGTGCTGGCAATGTAACCAGCTCCCCAAGTACTCTGAAGCAGTGATTGGGTAGCATTGAACCAGCTCTCTTTGAGCTGGCCTTCAGCCAGTGGAGGAGATCTCCATCACTAGAGATCTCCCTCCCAGCTCTTGTGTTCCTACAACTGAGTTTCCTGGCGGAGATTCATAGCGTGCCACTAGCACCTCCATCCACGTCAGTGGTGTCTTCTTCATCGTCGTCGTCGTAGCTGGTGTAATCCCCCAACGTCTCATCAAGGAAGTGTGGCCCAAAATAGCGGTTGTTGCTTCCCAAAACCACATCGCCTCAATCCAGGGCGACCCGGAAATGGGACTAACCGGTAGTAAACTGTTTATGTTGTGAGTCATTGTTTACCCATGACTTAGTTTACTCATGAGAAAACTGTTAAATAGTTGTTTACTCATGAGTAAACAGTCGAATCCTTGTTTACTCATGAGTAAACAAGCATTTATTGTTTCCTCATGAGTAAACAAGGTTTTTACAGTTTCCCCATGAGTAAACAACCATCTCGTGGGTAAACAGTGTGTTTTTACTAGTGAGATTTAACGGATCGTGGGGAAACTTCCTCATGTGTAAACAGCTTGTTTCCCCACGAGTCTTGTTTACCCACGAGTCATGGGTAAACAGTTGTTTACCCATCACTCGTGGGTAAACTACTTAGGTGGTACGGAAACTAATAACTTAGTAACTGCCACCGTAAAACCGTTACACACCTCATTCGTGCCTTTTTCCGGGTCACCCAGGCAGATGTTTACTTCACCATTGACTACTTGTTGGTTCTGCTGGTTTAACAGGTCTGCATGGACCCTCGCGCGCCTAATCCGTTGCACGTCCATAGCATCCACCTCTGCACTAATCCGATACAAGGCATATCCATGCCGCGATACCACACGGTCTGTGGGACTATGCACAACAGGGCAATGGGCATGACCTCGATCAAACGTTCCCAAGGTTCCCCCACCCAGAAGCAAAAGCCATGCTGTTTCCGTGAGCACGATTGTTGACTGCAGCAGCTTCTTGTTGCTGTCGCTGGCTTGGGCGGCCCGATCCAGCTGAAGAGAACTTCGGCGGCGTCGCTTTCCATCAATGTGTTGTCTCCCACTTCTGCGTCGGGTTGGACGCGTATCCTCACGAGCAAATGGCGGCGACATAGTGCTGATAGCTTTGATGTGGTATTGCAAAGTGCTTGCATGGTGTTATGCTTTCCTATTGCAGATCAGGAGATCAATTTTATGAGCCAATAGATGGTTTTGGGAGTCAATATCGAGTCGAGCCCAATTCTGAGCGAAACCACCTGAACGAAGAAGAGGGACATACCGAGGTGACAACATCCGACCTGGATGGAACCCAATCTGCAAAACTTCATCTCAAGCAAAATCAAAACCAAACTGAAAATCTGCAGAATGTGCGGGCTTGCATGTTGCATCCAGTCCTCGTTGGCTTGATCTGAAAATTGATGTCTCTTGCCGGCATAGCCACTCCGTCAAGCTTGCACTATCCTCATCCACTCAAAACCTCCAGTTCTTTGATCAGGTGACAGAAACACCATAGTACCAGCCATCTAGCAGCCACTATAAAACCTAAAACTAGCAAAAAATGATGCAGAAAAAGACTCGAGACATCACGGAATCCTAAAAAAGATACATATCTTTTCTGCCAGCACTCATTACTTAGGATGACTAACTTACCTCGACTCGACTCGGAAAACAAAAACCCAAAACCTACCTGTTATACCCGAGCACATTAAAACAAACCACCAAAAAAGCGTTGCAGTTGGAATATTTATAACCCAAACGAATCCAGCTCGTTGTTTTCCTTCTGTGACAGCCTCTTGGTTTTGGATATCAAACAGCTGTATGCCTTACTGCGTACAATCCGTACAAGCTAGTAGGTGAGGTGCCAGCCGTCGAATATTCTCAATTGCTTGTGGGATCCAGTTAGTCACTCCAGCCAATAGGATCGCTCCATGCTAACAGTCAACAGGTCTATAAGTATCTGGTCCTGCTTGACGAAAAAACAGGATGCAAAAATCGTCAAATGAAACAGCGCGTTAAGTAGCCCATCAATCCGTCTCGGCCAATAGGATCGCTCCACTCGGCTGACATCATCGGTAACTCGTCTTTAAATATCCAATCCTGCTTGACGAAAAAAACAGGGTGCAAAAATCGTCAAATGAAACAGCGAGTTAAGTAGCTCATAAAGGCCTGTGGGCTACTGGAGAGGCGGTTGGAGAGGCGGTTGGAGAGGCCTTCCTATCCTTATCCTAATTCCTTTTAAGGATAACTTGTGGAACCAGAGGAAAAAGATCGGCAATGACAGCGACAGCAAGCGCAAACAAAAAGGAGGAGAGACTTCGACAGTTCGATCGTCACAAGAGTCCATGAGAGAACAATAGAGTACTGTCGTGACAACCATGGAGTGGCATGTTTTGTTGTTGCCTAATCATGGCGGCGGCGCAAAAGAACACGGCACGGAGCACATGGGACATGTGTGTTTTTTGTTGTTGTTGTCTTCTGTGTTGCTCTTTAGAGTAATATCACCATCGAGGCTTGTCTGCTGTTCTTACTGCGTAGTGGCTCTTCTTGCTACTGAAAAAGTTGATGTGCTGTCGCTGTTATTCTCTGGCATTACTAAAAACTAGCTACTGAGTACTGAGTAATGTCCTCAAACACCTCGAAGTAGAAAGTGCGCTGTCCCTGTTGTCTCGCACTGTTAAATACTATACTAGTAGCTTTCCTAAGTATAGCACGCAAAAGTAGCATTTTGCTGTTTCTCTGATTACTATCTCCTTTGTAGTATCTTTTAAAAGCTGTGCCTCTCTTATCACGAGCTCGAATGTTTGTGGTTTGTGGAGGTTTTGTGTTGTTCAATCAGATTACATTTAGTTAGTGAGCTTGCTTCTTTTAAATAAGTACTACTTCCTTCCACGTGATTCTACTTATTGATATTAATTTACTATAGAACCGGGGTGTAGCCTGTGCTCCTATGATGTCCCCCTTAAATTTCAAATTTCAAACCTCTCTGAGTCTCAGGTTGGCTAGCTTGCCCACATAGGCGGTTGAAACGTGCAAAAGACAAAGTACTTAGGGATTGTCTGCAATTTTTCTGCAAAACTAGGTTTTGGTTGTATTCGGTCTGCAATCCAAGAAATTGCCTGCAAATTCCATATTAGTAGACATGGTAAACCCATCAGCAGACATCTGCTAATGTTGTGTGGAGAACCAGTCACCACACTCTGCGATTGTGTCGTCCATCCATATGTTTTGAATTGGCTGCCACCAATTTTCTCCCTCAAAGGCATAGAAAAAAGTTGCAAGGGCAAACAGCTGACCCTTTCTCCATTCTGAAAGAAACGTAATATTTTGGTGATTGGCTACCCATTGCCTTGCTCTCCACTGTGGGGTCTCGCTGCCATTGTTCATCCTTGCCAAAGTGTAGTCTGGTAGGCTATCCAACAGCAAGTCTAGAACCCCTGTGGGGGGAGATGATGTTACTTCGGAAGGAGTCGTGGAGCCAGAAACTGTCGGAGCATCTGTTGATAGGGAGACAATCATAGTAGACACCTGCCTCCTTCTTCTCTGGGTTCCTGCTCGCACAATGACAGCTGCCACAATTAGCAACATGACAAAAAAGAGAATAAATGTCAGCCTCTCCATCTTCTTCTTTTGCTCTCTATTTTGAAGCTGTTGTAGATCCACTGGATCCGCAGCGGGCTTATTTTCCTCCTCATCTGCATCTTCCTGAACTAGATTTGCCACCAGTTGCAAGTTGATGTGCACTGCTGGTGGTGGGCAATTCATCAGTTGTTTGAAGCAGTGTGGACGAATCGTAATGATCTGTATCATTCGCGCGCACTAATGGTTCGCCCTGACCAGTGGCACTGGAACCCACAAGAGAGAATCGTAGGTATTGGCGCTTTGTAGGGATTCTCCTAGTATTCCCATGTAGGCTCCTGGTCTCGGCAACAGATGTTGTGTCTGTTGGGTAGATTGTGGTTGTACAAGCCCATCGCCTTGTTCAACAATTGAATTTGCAGCATTCTGCGAATTTGCATGATTGCAATTTTTCCATTTCGTCATTTTCATTGATTTCAGTTGCCATTTGCATGAGATTGCTGTTGAGGGCCGAGATATCTTCGTCCGCCGCTGTTGCCAATCCTTTGACAGGAGTTCCTGCAGCAGCGGTCCGTCTCGTTGGCAAAAATGATAGCTTGTGGCTATGTTAGGTGTTTCTGAGCTGAGCTTCCATGCATGCCAGTATTTTTGTGTTCTTGCCTAATATTGTCGTCGTCCTTCAACATTTGTGCTGTTGCCACACTAGCCTCATCTGCCACAATTCTCAAGATTTCTTCTTCTTCTTCTTCTGCGGCCGCTTGATTTGTTTCTCCTGTAGCGTGCTGCTGCTTCTGGTGGTTGGCTGTCAACTGGGTTTTGGTATTTCTAGCTACCGTTGGTACCATCCGTGGACGAACTGCCAGGATTCTTCTTGGCTGGCAGTTTCTTAACAGCTTCTCCTTCTTCTTCTTCCTGAGTTCGTGTGACGATGGCTTCATGGTCTTGTCGGTATTGCAAGGCTTCTGCTTCTGCCCTTTTAATAAGGGCATCCCTTACCGCTGGGTCAAGTTGATCAGGTCCTGTGCTGATATCCAAGGAAGTGACACCATCCACACTGATGGTACTACTGGAATGAGTGCCCTTTCCTCGTTTCATCTTGCTCTACTTCTTTCTCTACTTCTCTACCGTTACTTCTGATGGTTTATGGTAGTCTTTCGATAGATGGCCCGGGGAATGGTGATCTTCAATATTATGCCACCATGGCATGTTCATGAATAGATAGTATCCCACGCGATATGGGAACGTCCGGTCTGCATTGACCTTAACTCTATGGTTAAACGACGCACACTTATTCTATGTTCCCTTAAGTTTTCAAAGATCCAATTCAAAAGATTCATATCTTTTTCGAGATTGATTCTATTCCAGAACATGGCATTGTGACCGAAAGCAGTGAGCGCCACACACAATTGATTGAATCAAGCTAGCTAGCTATAGCATGCTACAGTAGTATATTAGTACGGTACGGTACGACCTTTTGATTTGCTCGGAAGCAAGCTATATATTATAAGATGCTGTGAGTAGTGGATGCCAAGACGAGCAAGAAGAAGAGTGGAACTTCAACTGTAGGACTTACAAGTGCAACCAGATCCTATCCAAAAGAAGCAACAACAATCCTCGAGAACAGGAGCCTACATGGTTTACCAGAAGAAGCCCATAGAAATATGTAACATAGAACCACATAGTTGTAGAATTGGTGATATCAACAGATCTATCTTCTCCACCCAAAACATCAATAGTGATGTCCCAAAGAATACAACACTGTTTGGTTGGTGGCTGTCAGAGAGATCCAACCAGAGGGTATGCCAGCACCATACGGGTCAGATACAACCAGTATGTAGGCTGTGTCAGCTATCACTGGGAAGAGAGAGGAGTAAAGATAATTTGTAAACTCCAGTGGGCCACCTGATTTCAATGTGTCCCATGTACCAGTTGCATTGCTTTCTTTCTGCCAAACCCATGATGTTTCTGCAAGCCAATCATAAGTTTGGATGTTCAGCATGATAGCAAGACCCACCAATGGAAGCCGCCCGGGCCAATCAGATGGTGCTTCTGTGAGGTCGACACAGGTGGAAATGGGAGGAGTTTTGTGCAGGGAACAATCACACCAAAGAAAGCCACAAAGATGATCAGGGATAATTCCCGAGAAGAGATTTCCATACAATTTCAACCCCATGGAAGCATTCAGTTGGCTAGCAAGAGTTCCTGAAAGGCTGTTGTTGTAAAGATCAAGAGATGACAAATATGTCATCATACCAAATTCAGTTGGGATCTGGCCAGATAATTGATTGTCAAATAGGGAAAGCCGTCCCAGTGAAGTCAGGAGTCCAAACTCCCAAGGACTTTGACCTGTCAACCGATTTGCAGAAAGGATGAGGTGGTATAATGAGGTCCGGAGCCCAAGCTCAGAAGCAATTTGACCAGTCAACCTATTCTCAGAAAGGTTAAGCTCAGATAATGCCAGCAGCCCAAGCTCAGAAGGAATTGGACCGGTCAACCGATTGAATTGAAGATGTAGATCAATAATGTAATGAGGTCAGGAGCCCAAGCTCAGAAGGAACTTGACTGCTCAGCTGGTTATCAGAAAGGTAAAGCCATTCCAATGAGGTCAAAAGGCCAAGCTCAGAAGGTATTCTTGTAAGCTGATTTTGATCCAACTGTAACCAACACGTAGCGGTCAACTTTCCAAGCTCAGAAAGGAAGTGGACCGGTGAATTGATTATCAAACAAATAGAGAAATGACAATGAGGTCAGGAGCCCAAGCTCAGAAGGAAGTGGACCAGTCAACGGAGTGCGAACTTAGTCAAACTTAATCTGCTGTAAGGGCAAAAGCCTAAGCTCAGAAGGAATCCAACCAGACCACTGATTATCAGCAAGCCGAAGAGTACGTACTGAGGTCAGGAATCCTAGCTCAGAAGGCAGCAGATCGGTCAGCAGATTCTGATTAAGCCGAAGGTCTTCCAATGTGCTCAGCAGTCCAAATTCAGAAGGAACGGAGCCCGTCAGCATATTTCCTGACAACTTCAAAGATGTCAAAGCAATCTGTCTGAAAAAGCCTGCTGGGAAAAAGGATGACAACGGTTCAGCAATGTCATTGTCAACCAAATGAAGCTTGGACAAGGGCGTCATGAGGGTTACCTCAGGGGGAAGAACTACATCAAGACCAGAGAGCTCGAGTCCTTGCAGATTTAGTGAGGTATATTGTCCAAGGTCATTGCATGGAGATTCTGAACCGCCCTGAATGTACCCCCCACCAAAACTGGTTAAAAAAAATCCATATTCAATGGAGAACCAGTTACACTCTTCGACTGTGTCATCCATCCATCTGTCTTGAATTGGCTGCCACCAGTTCTCTCCCTGAAGTGAGTAAACGCAGGTAGCAAGAGCAAACAGCTGTTCCTTCCTCCATTCGGGAAGAAAGGTGATATTTTGGTGTTCGGCAAGCCATTGCCATGCTTTCCACTGCGGGGTCTCGCTCCCATTGTTGATTCTTGCCAAACTGTAGTCTGGTAGTATATCCAACAGTATGTCCAGAGCTTCAGTGGAGGCAGATGATGGCACTTCGGATGGTTCCATGGAGCCATAAACCGTCGGAGCCTCAGTTGACTCGAGCACAACATTGTTCTTTTGAGTTCCTGCTACAGCTCCCACAATGACTCCTGCCACGATTAGGAAGAGGATGAAAACAAGTCTTTGTTTCTTCTTCTTTTGCTCTCTCTCTTGAAGCTGTTGTAGATCCACTGGATGTGCCGCATGCCTTTCCTCCTCTTCTTCATCTTCCAGAACTAGATTTGCCACTGCTAGTTGACTTTCCCTACGAGTGGGCAATTCAGGGTTTGTTTGAATCAGTGTGGATGAATCGTCTGTAGCATTCATGTGCACTAATTGTTCACCCTGACCAGTGGCACTGGCACCCACAAGAGAGAATCGTAGGGTATTGGCAGGCAACGGCCTTTACACTTTGACACCTTAGTTCATATAAGTTAATGCATGTATTAGTACGCAGGCCTTGTAATGTACTAGCCAATTGCGACGGTAGCTACGGTACAAGGGTCCAGGAGAAAGTAGTCCCCCAACCCGTCTGTGTCACCCCTGGCCCCACTCCTGGACCAACGCCCAGACCAACTCGGAACGCGGCCCACTACTGGACCTAAGCTAGATCTACCGCAATCGAGGCAGACCACCAGGATTTGGCACCTTAAAAGAGTCGTGTCCTCATAGATAGATGTTGATGCTGTTGTCTGGCTGCTAAAGATGACCGAAGCATAATTTAAAAAGCATCTAGCTAGTTGCTTAACTATAGAAAAACGTAACATATAATCACTAAGTTGTAGAATTTGTGATATCAAAAGATCAACCTGCTCCAACCACAACATCAATGGTGATTTCGTAGAAGGCCTCCCTACCTACCAAAGAATACAACACTGATTGGTTGGTGGCTGTCAAAGTAATCCATCCAGGGATGTTGACACCATCACCATCACTGTCATACACAACAAGCCTGTAGGCTGTGTTGGTGTTCACCGGGAAGAGAGAGAGGAGTAAACATGCTCTGGAAATACCAGCGGACCACCAGACTCCAATATGGCCCAAATGCCAGGTTGGTTTCCTTGTGCCAAACCCATGATATATCCTCTGGAAAGTCATCAGTTTGGATATTGAGAATGACATCAGCACCTTTGGTTGGAAACCGACCAGGTCAATCCGGTCCTTCTATGAGGTCAGCACAAGTGGAAACAGGAGGAGTTTCATTTAGGGAACAATCACACTTTAGATAAGAACAAAGATGCTCCGGTACAGTTCCTGAAAACTGATTCCCATACAGTTTCAATCCCATTGATGCATTCAGTTGGCTGGGCAGTGTTCCTGTCATGTTATTGTCATAAAGGTAGAGATGCTCCAATGAGGTTAGGAGCCCAAGCTCGGAAGGAATTGTACCCATCAAGTGATTTTCGTTGAACGACAGCTCGGTCAAGACCGTCAAAAGGCCAAGCTCAGAAGGAAGTGGACCCGTAAACTGATTCTCCCGAAGGCCAAGCTCTTCCAATAAGGTCAGGAGCCCAAGCTCTGAAGGAACTGGACCGGATAACTGATTGTCATAAAGGTCGAGGCGATCCAATGAGGTCAGGAGCCCAAGCTCGGAAGGAACTTGACCGGTCAACCGATTTTCGCCCAAATCAAGTTCGTGCAAAGCCGCCAAAAGGTAAAGCTCGGAAGAAATGGAACCAGACATCTGATTCTCCTCAAGGCCAAGCTCAGAAGGAATTTGACCTGACAAATTCCAATAAAGGTCAAGATTTTCCAACGAGGCCAGGAGCCCAAGCTCTGAAGGAACTGGACCGGTCAACCGATTCTCAGAAAGGTTAAGGTCTTCCAATAAGGTCAGGAGCCCAAGCTCAGAAGGCAGTGGACCGGTCAACTGATTATTATATAGGAGAAGCCATTCTAATGAGGTCAGGAGCCCAAGCTTGGAAGGGACTTGACCAGTGAGCAGATTGTTACTCAACCATAAATCAGTCAATGAAGTCAATAGTGAAATTTCAGTGGGAATTTTGCCAGTGATTTGATTTCCCCACAAATGCAAATGTGTAAATCCAGTCATCTCATAAAGTTCTGCTGGTAACAGAGATGAAAGTGGTCCAGCAATGTCATTGTCCCAAAGAATAACACGAGACAAAGAAGTCAAGAGTGCAATCTCAGGTGGCAAAAATGGGGGAAGGCCAGAGAGCTGCAGGTCTTGCAGATACAGAGATATGAATTGTCCATGGTTGTCGCAAGAACTCGTTTTCCTCCCTCGTAAATCAAAGTACTTTCCACCAAAAAACCATCCAAATTCATTGGAGAACCAGAGGCACTCTTCCACTGTGTCATCCATCCATCCATGGCCCCTGATTAAAGGATTCCAACTTTCTCCTTCAAAAGCATAGAAAAAAGTAGCTAGAGCAAACAGCTGTTCCTTTCTCCATTCAGGAAAGATTGTGATGTTGTGGTGATTGGCTAGCCATTGCCATGCTCTCCACTGCGGGGTCTCACTGCCGTTGTTGATGCTGGCGATAGTGTCGTCAGGGAGACTATCGAATAACAAGTCGAGAACCCCAGTGGGAGCAGAGGATGGAACTTCCGATGGTTCCATGGAACCATAAACTGTTGGAGCCTCAGTTGACTTAAGGACAACCACCTTTGCCTCCTTTTTTTGGGTTCCTGCCACAGCTCCCACAACGACTGCTGCCACAGTTAACAACATGACAAAGAAGAGAATAAACATCAGCCTCTGTTTCTTCCTCTTTTGTTCTCTCCGCTGGACATGTTGTAGATCGACTGGATCTGCAGCGGGCCTAGTTTGTTCCTCCTCTGGATCTTCTAGAACAAGATCTGCCACTGCCAAGTGTTGGTCATTTGTTGATGGAATGTTGTGGTTGTTGGTGCTGCTGTGGGACACAGCATGTGGTTCAGCCAGTGCAGAGGAATCATCTGGATCACCATCAATTGGGCCTATCAGGGCATCCTGACCAGTGGCAGTGGCACCAACAAGGGAGAAACGTAGGGTAGTCGCGCGTTGCAAGGCTTCTCCTGGTGCACCACTGTAGGCTCCCGGTCTCATCGGCTGATGTTGTTGCCTCTGTAGTGGGATAGGTTCGGGTAGTGCTGCTGGTAGTACTGCTGCAAGTTCTGCAGTTTGCCGGTTAAGACGAGCTTCACCTTGTTCAATTGAGTTTGCGACATTCCGAGAATTGGCAGCAGTTGTATCTTCTTCTTTTTCTTCTTTGGCATTATCGTTGATTTCCGTTGCCATATTAGCGTCGCTGTGTTCTCCTTGCACGGCATCTTTATCCTCCTTCTTCAACGACGTTTGTGTTGTTGCCAATAATCCTTTGACAGGAGTAATACCCACTGCAGCTGCCTGTCCATTTGGTAAAAATGATAGTTGGTGGCGCTGTGAAGTGTTGTTGTTGAGCGGCGCTCCCATGCTAGTGTTTTTGTGTTCTTGCTTTAAAATATCGTCATCGTCGTCCTTCAACATGAGTGCTGTCACCAAACCTGCCTGATCGGCCACCATTTTCATGATTTCTTCTTCATCTCCAGCTTGATTTGCTTCTCCAGCTGTTGCTTCCTGCTGGTGTTTCTGGTGGTTGGTTGCTATCAACTGAGTTTTAGTAGTACCAGCATGTCTACCAGGGACTGTCTTTTTGGCTGGCAGTTTCTTGGCAGCTGCTTCTTCTTCTGCTTCTTGACTTTTTGTTCTATTGGTGGTTTCCTGGTCGTGTTGGCATTGCAAGGCTTCCGCCTCTGCTCTCTTGATCAGAGCATCTCTTACCGCTGGGTCGAGTTGATTGCCTTTACTGGTGGTACCTGCTGTACCATCCATTCCAGCACCGATCTCGGCGCCACCATCAGTGCTTGTAGGACTGGAACCTTCTTCCATCTTGCTATTTCTTGCTCTTCTTGCTCTACTGAGGCAACAATAGTTTAAAATAACTTGGCTCTATCGTACGGTACGAGTCAAGTGTCGTCGTTTGTTGGTCTTTCCTTTTTGTTTTGTAGGATCCTACCGTATTATGAGGAAGACAATAAGAGATCAGAATCGCGACAGCTGCATCTGCATCTGCATGGATGGATCTTGGATTGGGTTTACGCGATGCCCTACTAACGTTCGACGCACACTTATTCTGGATCCAGCTCCAAAAGGTCGATGACCTCGCAGATCAACAGGTACTAATAGATCGGACGAAGGGACCATCAACAAGCTACTAGCTATACCTCGACTCAATAGTAGTAGTACGGTACCGTACGACCTTTGGATAGCTATATATTATAAGATGCTACGAGTAGTAGACGCCAAGACGAGCAAGAAGAAGAAGAATGGTATTCCTGACTATTTGAAACGGCGGTGCTACGTGCGTTGGGGAGGAGAAGTCATCAATGTACTGGTCGATCCCGACGAACCCATTCTTATTGCCATGCACGAGCAGTTGGAAGAACATACAGGGATTGCGGTGGAAGATCAGAATTTGTTTTACAGTGGCATCCAGCGTGCGTTCAAGGCCGACAAGACGCTGCGGTATTACGGCGCTCAAGGAGGTGGATTCTTTGATTTGGCGCGCACCGAAGATTTGGACGAACACATGCATTTTGTCAAACGAAAAGCGCGCCGCCGCTCGTCGTTCCCGCCAACTACCAAGTTGCCACCCAAACCATCCAAACGAGTTTCGAAACGAGTCTCCAAGGTGATACAGAAACGAATCTCCATCATCCAACAACAACAACAAGAACAACAAGACGTTGTCAAGGATGACTCTTCGTCTTCTTCGTCAAGTTCGTCCAGTAGCAGTTCTAGCAGCAGTAGTGACAGCTCGGCAGGAGAAAAAAGTGTCCAAGAAGCCAAAATTCACAAACAGCGTCGTCGTTCTTCTCTTCTTCTGCAAGTGCAAGCCAAGAAAAAGGAAGTTCATATTACCGTCAAGACGTGGGATGGACAAACGATTTCGGTTTCGCTCGATCCCAATGACACCATTCGGGATCTCAAAAACAACATTTCGGGCGAATGTCATTTGCCACCCGACCAACAAATTCTCAAACTCAAGGACGCGCTAGTAAACAATGACAGTGCCACTCTGACACAACTCGGCATTCTGCAAGACGGCCTCAATATTATTATGACAGTCGAACCAGATGGAGTCCCCGTCATTGTCAAAACGCCCAACAATGGAAAACACATTCGCACCAAAGTAGTAGTCCATACCGACGTTACCGTGGCTGACTTTTGCAAGCAACTGCAAGCAGAGGCGGGAATCCCTGCGCCACACCAACTCTTGATGCTACAAGGAGTGCCACTGCTGGATGACGCATTCCACAAACCACTCAAGGACTATGGTGTGGTGGCGGGGAGTATCCTGGAAATGGTCGACAAACGAACTGTCAAAGCGCCAGAAAAGTCAACAAAGAAAAAGAAGAAAAAGAAAAAGAGTGACGACGACGATGATGATAGCTCTATTGAATGTAAGTCAAACAAGTCCAGCTCCTCTTGTTCTCATGCATGGCTGACTGATTGATTGATTCGATGGGGCGCTCGTTTCTGACATTACATTGTTCTTCGCAGATGCCGTTCACAAGTCCAAAGACTACAGTGTGGATTTTGAACCTACGCCGTTTGATCTGACGCGATTCAAGGCATATTTCATGGTGGGAGATCAGATTCCATTCGAAATGTTTTGTCCCGTTGCCATGGATATCAAAGCATTCAAAGTGGAAATACTACAACTACGAAATGATGCCAACTTTGTCAAACAATACTTTGATGGAATTCAGGATCCCAGTTTACTCAAAATATATCCCGCTGGATCGTATGGAGAAGGAGATCCATTGCCCGATGACATGCCCGTGCCAAGAGACTCTTCCGAGTACAAGTTCTTTAGTGTCTTGCTCTGACTATATATTATTAGCTGATTAGTTGATGCATGCATGGGGCATGCAATCGGCACATGTATACTCGGGAGACCCTTGCGTGCGTGTAAATAATATATAGACAATCCGATAATCATCCCATGTCTCTTTCTTTGGTCGGCCCAACAAGCAATACATTGGCTTCAGCGTTGCGGCAACGCACACAGATAGTTTGACGACGATCGATCGATCAAGTGCCCATGGTTCGACTACACGTACTGCAGAGGATATAGATCAAATAACTCTTAATTGTTGCCCGTCACGTACCGGTACGGTGGAACCCATCATCAAACCATTGCCCATGCACACGGATGCATGTAACTGGCCGTACAGTACCACACGAAATTCAACTGCATGCTCGTCATGAATGATCATACATACATCCAATCCACTGTCTTTGCAACTTCAGTTAACCGATTGGACAAACAAACAAACAAACAAACAAACAAACAAACAAACAACAATTAAGATGCGCATCACGGCAGTCTCGATGGGATTGCTCCGATCGATTGAGGGGATGCTATCTTACGACGGATCGAGAGAAATTCCACAACCGCCAAAAATGGATGTCTATAATATACGTGGACCAAAACAGTGGAGGACACGATCATGTGGATATTCACAATAGCCAATCGGGCAGTACGTATTGAAATTGTAGCGGCGTTGTAGTGGTGCTCATATTATAGTGAGTGGAAGTTCCATTAGTTGAGCGGGACAAATAAAGTATTCTATTCTTCAGCCAGTGGCGTCGTCATAAGTATTTGTCGTTGCACTAGCTAGTATTAGCTAGCTGGGTTGTGGGCAACCGTGGGCTTCACTTTTCTTGAAGAAAGCAATCTCAAGGTTCCACCAGCTTAGGGCTGTGCTGCTTCTAAAGGGGGGAAACATCGAGGGAACTGGATCATGATGTGCATGTCACTTTGGCTTTGGCTTACATTCCACGCCCACATGTAGTAGCCACGTGGATCTGCTGAGTTGGTTAGTTCAGCTGAGCGCAGCCCTTCGAAGTCACGGCCGGAGCTTGCAGAGTGATACAATGCATGGGAAAGAACCTTGGATATAGGATCATTCAGACCAAAGTCGGTCCATCAACAAAGGTAACGTTACCACACAAAGGTAACACATTTTCCTCCTTCCCCCTGATTAAGAATTACGTGAGTGAATCGAATCGCCAAGTCTTTTGTCCTTCCGGATCCTGAATGCTTCTCTTCCCGCCTTTCATCCTTTTACAATGCTCGGCTCAGCCTTGCTATTATTCTTCGGGACCGCCACCTCTGCATGCGTGGCTCTCGTGTCCCTGCTGCTACTGAACACGGGAAGAAGATCCAATTTGCAGGAACGGTACCACAACAGGATCGTAGAGCCCAACTGAAGCACGTTATATTGTTCCCACTTTCATTTTGCAGCAACCATACCCCACCACCATGTAGACCGATACCATACCGAAGTATCATAGTCAGTGTGCGATCACCCTATTAGCACTGCTACCTGTACCTGTGAACCTCATAATTTCTAGAATTCAAAGGCACTTTTTTACTCGAGTGATCGAGTAATAAGGGGGGTTTAGCGGAAGGAAATTATCTGCGGAAGCCAGCCGATCGAGAGTGGTGCGGTACACCTTTCACTATTACATATATCCGATCCATCCGCCATGAAGATCATTCCGCTCTTTACCATTACTATCGGTATCATCACATTCTTGATGGCAAAGTCGTGCGGTGCTTCTGTATGCCATACCTTTTTAATGTTCCGGCTGGTGTCAGTCCACGTTGGGACGCGGGTATTACAATCCCAACTGGGACGACCGACATAGTATGCAATGTTGAATGCTCTGCTACCGATCTCTTAACTCTTATGTTTTCAGGCACACTAACATCAGGCCAAGAACTAATTGTGGATCAAGCAAGTTCTTGCGGAACCACCATGACCTACACGCCCATAACAACATCTGTCTTCTCCCTAGTGTTTTCTGCACAGACCCACACTGGCACGGTCATCACATGCAATTGCAATGGTGTCAGCCCTTCTGCTCCTTCTCCCGCTCCTTCTGCTCCTTCTCCCGCTCCTTCTGCTCCGACTCCTGCTCCCCCTCCTCCTCCTGTTTGCTTTTCCGGGGAAGCCACTGTGGAACAACCGGGCCAAGCGCCCACCAAGATGACGGAACTCAACATCGGAGACAAAATCTTGACTGCCAACGACGAATACCAACCAATCTACGCCTTTGCCCACAATGATGACACCACTTACACGGAATTCCTCCAAATCCACACGACAAGTGGCAACAACCCATTGGAAATCACCAGTCAACATTTGGTCTATGTGCAGGGGAAGGATGCCCCAGTCACAGCCGGATCCATCAAGGTTGGTGATACTCTTACTGAAGCTGGACAAGGAGGAGCGGCTGTTGTTACCAAGATTGATACTGTCCAGCGCCACGGAATCTATGCTCCCCTGACTCCGGATGGCACACTTGTGGTGGATGGCATTGCATCCTCTTGCTATGTTTCCCTCCAACCCAATGGGGATCCCCAAACCATGGAAGTACAAGGGCACTCTGCATTGTCCGTTTTCTCTCACCACCGAGTTGCCCACATGCTCTTGACTGTGCCTCGTTTGGTTTGTATGGGTGGGATCAACCCAAAATGGTGCCAGACATACAATGAAGATGGTGTGGCTCTTTTTGTGCAGACGGCATTTGATTTGTCCGACTGGTTCCATGCCCAGCATTGGATGGTCCAGTATTTCCTCTTGGCTGTCTACTTGGTTGTCTTGTGTCCCCTGTATGCATTGGAGCTCTTGTTTGGTGCCAAGATGGCTGTTGCCATGGTTGTTGGTGGATTGGTCTTTGTGGGTTTTGTTCGTGGAAATAATGCTCCTGCTGTGGAACCAATCGATGTCAACAAACAAGCTTGAAGCGCTACCTGTCCAAAATGTCCTGTGTAGTATGAATAATTCGCTATTAGCTGTTCAACCTCTCCTAATGCATGTACCTAATTTATGTATGTACCTGATGATGGTAAATTGAAATCTGAACAAAGAAAGATACCACAAAACTTCTCTTCTTCACGAACACACATGTTCAGCCGTCGGCATGCAAGTATAGGCACGAAGACTGTGTATGCCATGCAGCCACTATATGGGGTACGTGTAGGGCTTGCTTTTGATGGACTCGACTCCACTTGTTGCTCAGTTGCAGCTACGATTGCCGGGAACTCTACCGAGGAATGCTCAAAAAACGCCAGCGGCAGCTGGCTATGTATCTGGCTATGTATCGATACATGCTGACATCTCAGAATGCTGGTCTTGTCGGGTCGGTATCATTCTCTTGTTGTCAAACTCGTTTTGTGTATGGTCTCGTAGCTCCACTCGTTTCTCATGCAGTTGGAGCTACGATTGCCGGGAACCCTATAAAGGATTGCTCTAAAATAAAATGACAGCAGAAGCTAGCTCACATGCTGGCATCTATAACACTGCCTACAGTCTCAAGAATGCTGGTCTTCCAGATTGATTCTCTTGTTGTCAATTGAGTTCTTTCGGTGTATGGTTGCGTAGCTCATTTCATGGTTGCTTTTGTCCCGCCCGTCAAACCAAACGCAACAAGCGCTCCGTGATGGTTGGTTGTTGCCTTATAGTGGTGGGCATACGTACCGTATCCTCCAGCACTTCCAGCCTCCTCGGCTCCAGCCACCGACTGTTTCCTTGACTGATTGATAGGCTGCTATTCCAATAGATCGACTGCCTACAATTGTCAAATGTCTACTATTTTGCAGACCTGTAACCATCCTTGACAGGACACGGTAGGTATACTGGCACAGTACCACTCTTCTATACTGTACCGTAGTAGTGTCGGCCGATCGTTCTAGCGAGGCAGCGAGTGACGAATCGCGTGCCGATAATTTCCTTGGTCGCACTTTGTTTTTTCCTGTTGGGAGCAGGTGTGTGTGTGTATCGATTGATCGGTCCATGCCATGCCATGCCATGCGCCGTCGTCATGTGCAGCGAATCTGTATCGATCACTGGCCAAGGGCTCACGCAGCTAGCATTCCATCAGCCGTCATGTCTTGCACCTCCTCGTTTGTTGAGAACTCCATCCAGAATGTTGTTGAGAACTCCACCCGGAAGGTTGCATCGTTCGTTCGTTCAGCTTGATCAGCACAGTGTCCCTCTCAATTGCTCTTGATGATTGTTGTCGTTGCCTCCTGTCTGCCATGGAGTCGTTCCCAGAATCCAGAGCCGTGTGGCCGCCTCGTTCGTGTAGACGGGGGAAACCTTCCTATGTATCAGATCTGCTTGATGCCTGACACAGTAAGAAAACTACTATTACTGGCGGACCGATCGTCATGACTAGCATGCATGACATCCCAACACAACATGCAGAAGATCTCGAGCAAAGATGCAAAGATCTCGATCGAGGATTCCGAAGAGGATCCATGGATCGAGAAGGATCGCGCTGAATAAAACAGCGGAGGCTGTTGCGAAAATGGTGCGGAGTGCATGCTCTGTGGAGGACTGCGGTACCGTAGGCCTGCAGCTGATGGAACCGGTGTTTTGCCAGACGGTGCCAGATCCGTGATTACGAGCGCATGCCTCTTCTTCTTAACGCCTCAAACGCCCACCGATTCATCAATGCTGCAGTAGCACATCAGTAGCACCCTCGAACGGGCGCCTGCACGCATAAGCAAATCCAACGACAGGCAGGCATGGAAGTTGCGGGGAATTGTGGTTTTTTGTCAACACCAAGGTTGTAATCAGAGTTACAGGCGAGAATAACCAATACCCAGTCAGCAGTCAGGAAGATTTTAAAGAATTTCTTTCTCTTAAAGAGGTCAAACACCTCTATACCGAATACCACAACCGTGGTGTATACCTTCACACAGCTCACAGATGGTGCCACTTACGATTTGGGTCCACCGCAACAACAGCCAGCAAATGGTAAGAAGAATTCTAGATTTGGGTGTTGGTTTATTATTCAAATCGTCCTTGGCTCCACGTACTCCCAGTGGCAAGCAAGGAACCCACATCCTGGACACAAGAAGTTTTGCGCCTAGGATTGCGCGTCCAAACCGTTGACGACGCCGAAACGGACCTCATTGGAAGGGATCCCGCCAAGCAATTTTTTTCTTCCCACATGCGGACGCAACCCATCAAGGATCATGGAGCATTTAAGAGACGGTCCGCGGAAGAACTGGAGGCGGTCGCGCGTTTTTGGCTCGTGCTCGCGTCTTTTCACTTTTCGAAATGGCGCGAAGTTGGCTGCAGCAACAACAACGTTAACAACAACCGATCGATCGAACCAACCACCATGACGATGCTCCGGAGACTGATACCCAACGAAACGACGCTCCTAAAATACAAGTAAGGGTTCTATAATTCGTCTATATTACCACTACCGGTGTAGCAACAAGCGCAAGCTTCAAAGGCGGTGTAGTTGTGGAGGTTGTTGTTGTAGTAGCAGGAAACCACCGCCGCTCCACCACTCGCTCCGTGAGGTCAACAAGAGGAAGGAGATTGAGCGCCGCAGCTCTTTGCTTTGACTACTATTATGTGGTTGCATCTCCGACCTCCAAACTCGCTCTGATTGTGGCTTCCCTCTCCACAAGTATTGTAGAGCGTCGAACGACTGGTTTGTTGGCCATGCTGTGGCACTCGAGTGGCGATTCGGAGGTCAACCAACCAAAGATATAAAGTGACCCTTTAAAATTGTTTTGGTTAGGGTACACTACTATTTCTTCGATTGTTACTTCAGGGGTCACTTTATTGCTTTGGATCACCTTCGTTTCGTGGGATTGGTGATACACGTTCTATGAGCCCCCAGCCTCTACTCGGTGCGCACACCGTCTCTTAAGGTTTTTGTGGCTTCCGGTCACGTGCGAGCAGGAAAAACTCGAATTGGTGAGGAGTTGTGGAAGTATTTGGAGAAGGAGAAGAAAACTAACGCTACATACGTGCAGGTGCAACTTGGCAATGGGCATGGCTATCAAAAAAACTTCGATGGGCTGCTCAAGGACAATTCTAAAGATCGGCTTGGTGGCCGCTTGGTTCAGGCGTACTTTGATACAGAGGATCTCAGACCTTTTCCTGCCAAGGAGGCGCTTGACATCATTATTGGCCTTGACCAAAATGAAGGCAAAGGCACCATTGTGGTTCACTTTGACGAACATGGGCAATACGTACACGCTGCAGCAGACGACCCAAGCGTTGGTGCCAAGAAGAGCACGGGATTACTCACGCAATATTTTGACTTGCTCAGTTCCTATGAGAGAAGCAGCAAGGGCAAGATCATCATCTATCCTGTTGCCTCGGGGACTACATACAACGATGTTGCAGTGAACCACAACAGTCAATACCAGACAAAACCTTTGCCGCTGGCGTCTCTAAAATTGGAGGAGTCCCTAGCGCTTGCAAAAGACCGATTGGTCAAGAAGGGTGCTGGTACCGAACTTCTCAGTCAAATTTTGGGGGACACTCTGTTCAAAGTAGCTGTCGCTGATGCTGGAGGGCTACCAGGTGCCGTCATCTGGGCGGCTGATAGAGCTGGTCAAAGCATGACATTGGATCAGGGAACCTTCATTGCCGAACTTGTGGCAGAAGCTAAATCATATGCAAAGTTTCCCGCAAAGGGACGTTGGGAACAGTGCATTTTGTGTTCCTTTGCCCGTCCACCTCTTAAGGGGCATTCAGTTCTTGTACCTCGTCAAAGTGGAGACAATGGAGACGAAGAATCTAAGGACTGGACTGTTACAAGAGCTTCTGAATCTGGATCCATCACCGTGACGACAAGAGGAGGGTTCAAAGAGATTCGAATTGCTCCCTGCTTCCTTGCAGCTTCAGACAGCACACATAATCTGCCTCTCAACACGTCAATTCTTCTTGCGAATTTGAGTTGGGCTGATGGCTGGACATGGCAACGGTTTGAGAATGCCCATGCTCATTACTATGCAGCATTTCTGAATGCACTGGACAAGACCCAACGCTTCTGGAGTGAAAATGGCAACCAAAACATGTTTGTGAGGGATGTTTTCCCTGGTGTGCAGTCGCAGGATTGTTCCCTTCTGGATTGGATTGTCAAGCCAACTAAGGACTTTAACTATGGTTCAGTGGTTGCAGAAACGGAACAGAGCATACCAAGATCCAATGCAGCTCCTGGAACAGAGCACAGCGTTAACATTTTGGACTTCCATAACGTCCATCTTGCGGCTCCTGGAAACCCAATCACTGACGCACATTTTAACTTGAATGTGGAAAGAGTTGCAAATGACCCTCAGCAGGGGATGACAGTCTTCATGCAGTACAAGCATTCCGTCGACGAGCGAGGTACCACTGTCAAGGTTTCCGAAATGAATGGTGCTGTGGAGACTCTTCGAGGAAGGCTGGCCAATCACGGGTGGCCGAGAGATCGAGAGTGGCTGTTTCTGTGGGTGACCAATCGCTCAGTGGAGGTAGATGTACCGGCAAATGAAAAACTCCTCTGGGTTGGACGGGAGGAGCTGTTTGAACACTCTCCACTCATTGGAATGCGGGGTTTGGTGGTTGATGAGCAATCGCGAGAAGTGAACGATGTTTAGAGTAATGGCAACTGAGATTTCTCTCCTATCGTTTGATTATGAAATTATCGCTTGATTGGTTTTAAACCTATTTCTAATCAGGTGGTCCAGAGATGAGGTACAGGTAATGTGACAGAGGAACCGAGGGGGTAAGCGTAGCGCGTGAAGACATGACGCTGACAAAACGTTGCACCGATCAAGTGTGCGACTGGAGGCGGATATGTCGAAACTATAGTTATTTATTTCGTCTCCCGGAGACGATTTGCTTTTAGGGGTAAGGGTACTTTTGGGGAGTGGAGGTTTGAATTATACCCCGCGTGCATTACTTAGAGGCCTCTGTAGAAGTCTACGTATTCGACTAGTATTGTATTGACGGGATACAGTCAACGCATGTACATGCACATGAAAGTCGCCTTGCGTTCTTCACATGTTTTGCATGAATGACGAGGGAGCAGTTTCGGGGCTCGGGGCGAAGCTGAAAGGGATGAGCGCGCGGAGCGCGCGAATACTGTTTCAACAAAGGGAGTTAGGTGTTGGTAATAAAAGATTTATGGAAACGGAGACGACCCAGGGGGCGTATGAATTTATTGAAAGAGGGGGCAAGATTACAGCGGAAGAGCACAAGTGCACCATCGGCATGGATTGCTGCATCGGTGTGCGTCCCAACCTTTTTGACGACCTCCATGCTCAGCGCCTATTACGGCACTGGTGCATGCTCTATAACATTCTAGACTACATGTACGGTGCCGATACTCGTACATGTTTTGTACGTACTTGGAAGCACGGGCTTACGCTTCATTTTCTCAGTCGTGAAAACGCAGGAAGCTTTTAAAAAGGGTCACGACTTTGCAGCAACAATACCGCAAAGTCGTTGGAAGGCGTAGATACGATTTTGCAGGAACGGTATCGCTATCTTGCAGGAACGATACCGCTACTATCTTGTACCTCTAGAGAGCGCTACTCAGTCGTGAAACACAGGCAGCAAGCCAAGTTTTCCCTGTGGTTGGACCGAGCTACGATTTCCCCTCACAGGCAGCAGTGCCCTACTGAAGCACGGTGACATGCAGTAACGTAAGCCAACAAACCACAAAAAAGTAGATACCATAGTCTGTGAACCTCATAATATTTTAAAATTCGAGACTTCTATACTTACTCAAAGTACACCTTTCACTATCGCTAGCGATCGAACCCACCGCACCATGAAGTTCATTAAAATTTCTCACTTTGCCATTACCACCTGTGCCATTGCATTGTTCATGGCCACATCCTGCAGTGCTGAAGTTTGCTGGACTTTCAGTCCCTTCGATAACCACCGAGGAGATTCTGGTGTTCACTATGTTTATCCCCCAACTGAAAAAACCACGGCTATAGAATGTGCTGTTGACTGTGTCTCTGCTACAAGTGTCAGAGTTACTATGTACGAAAATCCAAGTGCTCCTGGTGATCGTATTGTTGATGAAACAACCTCTTGTGGAACCACCATTTCCCATACAACAACCAACAGTGCACCGGTTGGCATAGGATTCGAGGCAACTGACAACATTAACTTGGTCTTCACCTGTAGATGCAATGATCTCAGCACCCCTGCTCCTTATGCATATAATCCCTATCCCACTCCCCCTCCTCCTCCCTTTTGCTTTTCCGAGGAAGCCACTGTGGAACAACCAGGCCAAGCACCCACCAAGATGACGGAACTCAAGATCGGAGACAAGATCTTGACTGCCAACAATGAATACCAACCAATCTACGCCTTTGCCCACAATGATGCCACCACTTACACGGAATTCCTCCAAATCCACACGACAAGTGGCAACAACCCATTGGAAATCACCAGTCAACATTTGGTCTATGTGCAGGGGAAGGATGCCCCGGTCACAGCCGGATCCATCAAGGTTGGTGATACTCTTACTGAAGCTGGACAAGGAGGAGCGGCTGTTGTTACCAAGATTGATACTGTCCAGCGCCACGGAATCTATGCTCCCCTGACTCCGGATGGCACACTTGTGGTGGATGGCATTGCATCCTCTTGCTATGTTTCCCTCCAACCCAATGGGGATCCCCAAACCATGGAACTAAAAGGCTGCTCTGCATTGTCCGTTTTCTCTCACCACCGAGTTGCCCACATGCTCTTGACTGTGCCTCGTTTGGTTTGCATGGGCGGGATCAACCCAAAATGGTGCCAGACGTACAATGAAGATGGTGTGGCTCTTTTTGTGCAGACGGCATTTGATTTGTCCGACTGGTTCCATGCCCAGCACTGGGTGGTTCAGAGGTTCCTTTTAGCTGTCTATTTGGTTGTCTTGTGTCCCATGTATGCATTGGAGCTCTTGTTGGGTACCAAGCTGGCTGCTGCCATGGTTGTTGGTGGATTGGGCTTTGTGGGTTTTGTTCGTGGAAATAATGCTCCTGCTGCGGAACCAACCGATGTCAACAAACAAGCTTGAAGCACAACTGTTCCAAGATTCCTGTGTATTTCATCTATGAATAATTCGCTATTAGCTGTTCAACCTCTCCTAATGCAAGTACCTGATGATGGTAAATTGAAACCTGAATGAAGATAGTTACCACACAAACCTCACTTCTTCACAAACACACATGTTCACCCGTCGGGACGCAAGTATATGTATGAAGATGTGGATGCAGCCACTACCGGTAGGGGTGGGGGTGGCCTTTGATGGACTCGACTCGACTCGACTCAACTCGTTGCTCATGCTATGATTGCCGGGAACGCTACTGAGGATTGCTCCAAAATTGACAGCAGGAGCTAGCTCTACATGCTAAAATCTCTAACACTGCCTACAGTCTCAAAAATGCTGGTCTTTCTTCTTCTCCTGTTGTCAAATTTGTTCTTTCGGTGTATGGTTGCGTAGCTCATCACATGGTTGCCTTCTTCCCGTCCCTGAGACATGAGTTGAGTTGTTGGACCTTGGCTAGCTGTCTGACTTGTAAGTCTTTACACACACCACAAGTCACCGTACCGTACGTAGCATCAATCAAGCCCAGCCAGCGGGGTCCGTGTTGCTAAGATTTTGTGGATCCAGTCATTCAACTTACAACTTAAGGCTTGGCATGACATCTTCAGGTGGCTAGCTACTTCATTGCGAGGTGCAGGTTGCTGGCTGGCTAGCTAGCTAGCCAACTTGGGATCTGTTTCGGCATTCCCATGTCATCCAACCTTACCAATACCGGTGGCAAGTTAACCAACCCAACCGTAACGTACGTATCGGCCGTATCGTAGGGCATCGGATTCGAATCGGACCGGATCGTAGCATACACTGTGGACGGTATAAGCATCTATGCAAGAACCAGGATATATACCGTAGTACTCAGTGCTTGTTTTCTACCGGTACCATAATGCTAGCCGGATCTGTACAGTACTAGTAGCCTTCAGCCCTCTGCTGGCTTGGGAATTGGCTGTGCTTGGTCCTAGCTAGAAAGTCTTGTGTGGTCGTTGTTGGTCTGTTCGTGGTAGACCATGGCGCTTTTCTCCCATTTCCCTGAAGCACGGGCTTCATTTAATTGCCCAGTCAAAATTCAGCTCGGAGTTTGTGTGGTCGGAGAAATCCTTCATTTTGTGCATGATGTCTCATAGCCGCATTGGCCGTATCATTTAGATGCTGGTCGGAAAGACTGACTATGGACGACGGTGACCATGCGCGGGAAGAGAGGAAATTGAATTTGGCTCTGAATTCAAGCAGGAGTGCTTCGCAGTTATCAGAAACGGGCCGACTCGATTGAATCGAACATGCTACGACAACAGTTCTGAACGCCGTGCCTGAAATCCGCGACGTGGCACCGGGCATGTCCTCCAACAATTGTGGACCACACAGGAGGAGAGGAAAGAGGTAGTAGAACCTTGTTGCCGGAGGCAATCCGGTCTGAGGCTTGTCATCATCGTACAGTCTCACTGCATATCATGCAAGGTTGTCTCCGCCGAAGATGAAGAAAAGCCGTGAAAGTCCAGGGCAGCAACGCAGTTCTTGGAGCTCACAGAATTCACCGAGTAGATTTTTTCTTTGTCCTACTTATAGTATCGTCATTTTGTTGGAGCAAAGCATACAAGGCTTTGCGCTTAGCTACTAGTCTATTTGTAAGCCAAGCCTGCGGCTGCCCGTTCTCTTACATCAACAAAAATTGAACATTTTGATGCCGGGCCTACGAAGTATATCTGTTGGGTTGTCTCCCACTGCATGTATGTATCCAGTAGAAACAGTGAAAGACTTGGATGATTCAATCATAAAAACATTCTTTCCACAGCAACTCTTGGGCGCATGCTACCAGGTAGACTCACAGTTCTATGATGCAACCGTGGGCTTCACTCCTCTTAAAGAAATCTCAAGGTCCAACAAGCTTAGGGATGTGGTGCTACAATAGGGGATCCATGGACTGCATCATCGTGTGCTTGTCTTTCCCGCATCGTGGGAAGTGAGGGTCACGTCCCGCCCCACCCAGTAGCCAGGCGGATCTGCTGCTTTGACTAGTTCAGGAGCTGCAGGCGTTCACGACCGAAACTTGCAGGGTGATGGGGCTTTCTCTCCCTCTAGCAGCCGACTGAGTGGTTGAACAACATCACAGGCAGTTTCATCCCTCTCCCTGATATATTATTATTGGAATCCGCAAGTCCTTCAATCGATCGTTTGTCTTGGGTATCGTGCTGAGAGCTGTGCCGATAAAGACAAACAAACGATCCATCGAGGCTTGACTCGATCGATATAAGCCAGGACAATCGATCGAGACGTGTTTGGCTGTGGGATCCCTCAGACGGAAACAAGCATGAGCAAACCACCTCACAACAACAACAAAGCCTCTCCGATGAAGGATGGAACCGATAATCCTCCGGCGAAGCTGTTGGATGACACCCCTCCAGGAAATAGCGGAACTGATGGTGGTAGTGGAAACCCCCCTCCTCCAGAAACCTTGGAGAGTGGTGAACAGCCATTGGCTTCCAACAGTACTGAAAATAATATTGACAGGAAGATGACACCTGAAGAAAAGGCTCATGCAGAAGAAAGGTGGTTGACGGGAAATACTGAGCTGCAAGAATGTGAAGTAGAAGACAGCACTAAACCAACAACGAAAGACGGCAAAGAAGCAGACCACCGAAAACTAGCCGCCACAGCAAGTCACCAGGTTCAAAAAGATCGCAAGAACAAAAATGACTACAGCAAGAGTAATGATACGATCAACATGGATTCTGCTTCTAGCGCTCTCGCAAACCTCGAAGCGAGGTTTAACAACCCTCAACAAAGTGGTCAGCTAAACTTCCTGCCAAAGGGAAAGCATTCACACATCAAAGGAGATTTGGCAGAAAAGATTGCAGCAGACAGCAAAATACCAGCAACGTCAAGCTTCAAAGGAACAAGCCACGACAGTTCTACTTTTGCTGCTCTTTCTTCTGTGGAAGATCGGCTGAACAACCCAGGACTTTCATTCTTTCCCTCAAAATCATCTGGACAACACTCAAGTGGTATCATTCCACCCACAGAACAAGGATCAATGCCTATCTCATTCTCAACCATTGAAGCCAACACGGGTGCTACTTAAGGCTGTCCATCATTGACCCAACAGCACCAGCAGTTACCTCAACCTGGAGCATACAGCAATGTCCCAGGGGAGTCCATGAGACGCACACTTACTCTCAACTATGGCATATTTCGCGCTGCTGCTGACGATGCCCCATCAACCGACCCAGCATCTACTGGTACTGGGATAAATCAAGACTCATTGTTGCCTGGTACAGCGGCAAACAATCAGCTGCCACAGGCAAACTTGGTCAATGAAGATCCAGAAGAACATACAATGCCATCAGCAGATCCAGTTGATCTACAACAGGTTCAGCAGAGAGAACTAAAGAAGAAGAAGCAGAGGCAGATGTTTATTCTCTTTTTTGTCATGTTGCTAATTGTGACAGCCATCATTGTGGGAGCCGCGGCAGGAGCCCAAAAGAAGGAGCCAGAGGTGATTTTCTCCCTAGCAACGGATGCTCCGACCGCTTATGGGTCCATGACTCCTTCTGAAATACCATCCTCTGCCCCCACTGGGGTTCTGGATTTGCTATTCGATAGTCTCCCAGACTACAGTTTGGCCAGCATCAACAATGGCAGTGAGACCCCACAGTGGAGAGCATGGAACTGGCTAGCCAACCACCAAAACATCTCATTTCTTCCGGAATGGAGAAAGACACAGCTGTTTGCCCTGGCTACATTCTTCTACGCCTTTGAGGGAGACAATTGGGACCATTTGATAAAGGGTCATGGATGGATGGATGACACTGTGGAAGAGTGTGACTGGTTCTCCAGTGGGTTTGGATATTTCTTTTATGAAAAATACTATCAAGTCCCAGATCCAATTTTGTCATGCAATGACCACAGGCAGTTCACTTCTCTGTATCTGCAAGACCTCCTTCATTCTGGTCTTTCGCCATATATTCCCTTGGAGATCACCCAATTAACTTCCTTGTCCAGGATTCGTTTGGAACAAAACATCATTACGGCACCATTGTCGTCTCTGCTGCCAGCAGAATTGGACAAGATGATGTCTTTGGATTCTTTGGATCTGTCTATCAACAGGTTGACCGGTCAAATTCCTTCTGAGCTTGGGCTCCTGACCTCATTGCACCTGCTTGACCTTTCTGCGAATCAGTTGATTGGTCCCATTCCATCTGAGCTTGCGCTCCTAACCGCATTGAAAAAGCTTTTCCTTTCTGTGAATCAGATCATTGGTCTCCTGCCTTCTGAGCTTGGGCTCCTGACCTCATTGGATTCTCTCTGGCTTTCCAAGAATCGGATATCCGGTCAGATTCCTTCTGAGCTTGGGCTCCTTGTCTCATTGGACACTCTTGAGCTTTCTGGAAATCGGTTGACCCGTCAAATACCTTCTGAGCTTGGGCTCATTTCCTCATTGGACAAGCTATACGTTTCTTCGAATCAGTTGACGGGTCAAATTCCTTCCGAGCTTGGGCTCCTGATCTCACTGACCTATCTTCACCTTTATGAGAATAGGTTGACCGGTCAAATTCCTTCTGAGCTTGGGCTCCTGACCTCATCAGAACGGCTTTACCTTGATGAGAATCAGTTGACGGGTGAAATTCCTTCTGAGTTTGGGCTCCTGACCTCATCAGAAGGACTTGGCCTTTCTGAGAATCAGTTGACGGGGCAAATTCCTTCTGAGCTTGGGCTCCTGACCGCATTAGAACAGCTTGACCTTTCTGATAACCAGTTGGTTGGCCCAATTCCTTCAGAGCTTTGGCTCCAGACCTCACTATTGAGGCTTGACCTTTCTGAGAATCAGTTGGCTGGTCAAGTTCCATCTGAGTTTGGCCTTTTGACGGCTTTGACCCGGCTGAGGTTGAATGGCAACCAGTTCACTGGCCCAGTTCCTTCAGAGCTTTGGCTCCTGACATCATTGGTGGAGCTTCACCTTTATGACAATCAGCTCACCGGAACAATTCCAACTGTAATTGGCATGATGACATCGCTGACATCCCTGGCTCTTCAGAATACTAACCTGACAGGAACACTGCCCAGCCAACTGAATGCATATATGGGATTGAGTCTGTATGGGAATCAGTTCTCAGGAACTGTCCCAGGGCATCTTTGTTCTTTTCTGTGGTGTGATTGTTCTCAAAATGAAACCCCCCCTGTTTCCACCTGTGCTGACCTCAAAGAAGCTCGACCGGACTGGCCTGGTCGGTTTCCAACCACAAGTGCTGCTGTCGTGCTCAATATCCGAACGGATCGTTTTCCGCAGGAAATATCATGGGTTTGGCAGAAGGAATCCAATGTGACTGGTATTTGGGACACACTGGAATTGGGTGGTCCACTGCAGTCTAAAAGTCATCTTTACTCCTCTCTCTTCCCAGTCAACAATGACACAGCCAACAGATTGATTGTATCGGACGTTTTTGGTGATGGCATTGGGTTTTCAGGATGGATTACAATAACAGGAAGCAATGAAACAGTGTTGTTTTCAATATCGGGTGGTGATGTCTTTTCTGAAATCATCATTGATACCAGAGAGTTATTTCCACCAGAATGGCCTGGCTGCTTTCCAAGCAACCATGCCCGGATCTGTCATGCTGAATATCTTGACTGATTACTATCCAGAAGAAACATCATGGGTTTGGCAGAAGGAAACCAATGTGACTGGTGTTTGGGAAACACTGGAATTTGGTGGTCCACTGGAGTTGAAATATCATCTTTACTCCTCTCTCTTTCCAGTCAACAACAATGACACAGCCCACAGATTGATTGTATCTGACGATTGGGACGATGGCTTTTGGAATTCAGGATGGCTTACTCTAACAGTAGGAAGCAATGAAACAGTGTTGTATTCTTTGGGAATTGGGGAGTCCTTTTCTGTAATCACCATTGGCGTTTTGGTTGGAGCGGATGGTTCTTTTGGCATCACCACTGCATGATAGTCCCATTTTATTTATGAGTTTTACTTATTTCTGAATTGCATTGTACAGTTTTATCTGCTTCAGAGCAGAGGATAAGGCAAGTCTTTCTTCGTTAATCCATAGTAACCGAATTGCTTATAGACACCTATGCACAAACCTCTACAAACCTTCATGGACTTGCACTAGAGTTCTATACCTACCGTAGGTTGTAATTCGCCCGCCAGTAGCACCGTGTTCGTGTATAAGGAGCAAACAGCATGAGCTGTTTTGCAAGCCGAGACCATCGCAGGCAGGGAGGGCGTGGGCAAGACCTCCATGCACTGGTTGTTGCTTGCGACTTTGCTGGTTTAAAGAGCTCTCAACCGACAAGGATCGACCCATGCAAAGAAAGAAGCAACACGAGGAGAGATCGAGCTGCACAGAACGACTAGCTAGTATCTTGCTTGTGCGTCGATCCATCATTCAGCTTGATTATAGCCCTCTTGCTCTTATTGTTCTTGAGGGATAAAACAAATACAGCTGGCACTTCTCAGCTTTCCGTTGGTTTGAAAGCAGGCATTGAAGGTGCCGTCCACACGGCAAATCATGTTTGGGATCATCACCTTGGCTCATCTGACAGTCTCGACTCTGATTTCGGCTTCCTTATTATAGATGCCTCTAATGCCTTCAACGAATTGAATCGAACTGCCATGCTTTATACAGTTCGCCATCTTTGGCCCGAAGGCGCCCGCTTTACCTTCAACAGTTACAAACATTGTCCCTTGTTATTTTTCACGACTCCACCCTGGAACAGCTCACATTATCCTCAGCGCTGTTGGAGTCGTGCAAGGTGATCCTTTAGCCATGTACTGCTACGGTTTAGCCTTAGTTCCTCTCATTAAACGGCTTCACCATGAGTTCCCTCACCTTCTGCATCTCTGGTATGCCGATGATGCAATGCTGCCGGCAAATTTACTGATTTACAATTGCTTCTAGACCGTCTTATTCGCTAGGCAAACCATTCGGCTACTTTGTTCAGCGCAATAAATGCAAAATTATTACTCACAGTGCCAATTTTCACACAGCCACCACTCAGTTTACGCGTACCCGCGGCTCTCAACTCAAAGTCACCAATGGTGCCAGATTTCTCAGTGGTCATATCGGCGAACCTGAAGCCCTTTCCTCCTGGTGTTGATTCCAAAATCACAAATTTGACGGCCTGCATTCAATTCTTTGTGAAGTGGCTCATTCTACCCCAGTCGGCTTATATTCCTGCCAAAAGTCTCTCCAAAAGGAATGAGCAATTTGTGCAAGTGTTGTCGTGTCCCCTCGGACTTGGCTTCCCTTGGAAAATGCTCTGGATTTTGAGCTTCTCCCCCTCTATGGAACCTTCATTCAAGCGAACTACCCCCCCGAGCTCTCACTTCCCTCCCAAACAAGTTTGCCGCCTTTCTCTCCCCAACCCCATTACGGAAGCCCCCCTCCGCTACATTGCCAGTCGCGAAATTACTTCGGAAATTACCGC